ACTTATTGCCCAAACCAAGGTCGCCTCAATTTCCTCCTGTCTTCTATTTTTAAAGTTTTATAGTTATATCTATAATATATATTATATCTAGAGAGACATTCTCCATTTTTAAAAATTATGGTAAACTATACATAACATAAAACTTACCATTGTAAGCATTTTAAGTGCTTAGCTAAGTGGCATTAAATGCATTCACACTGTTGTTCTACCATCACCACCATTCATATCCAGGACTTCTTCATCTTCCCAAACCAAAACTTTGTACCCTTTAAAAAATAACACACTATTCCTACCTACCCTCCACCCCTGACAACCACCATTTTACTTTCTGACTCTATGAATTTGACTGTTCCAGGTACCTCAGGTAAGTGGAATCAGACAATATTTTTACTTTTGTGCCTCACTTATTCCACTTAGCATTAACGTTTTCAAGTTCATCCATATTGTAGCATGTATCAGAATTTTATTCCTTTTGAAGGCTGAATAAAATTTTACTGCGGGACTACATTTTGTTTATTTATTTATTCATAATAGACATTTGGGTTGTGTCCACCTTTTGGCTATTGTTATTTATCTTCCTCTGAACATGGGTGTACAGGTATCTGTTAGATTCCTTGTTTTCCTGCCGAACCTTGCCCAGACCTGGGAAAGGGAGGAGAGCCTCAGAAATTGCTCTACCTTAAGAATGAACATTTTTAAACGATCTGGCTTTTAAACTCCACAATTTCCTATATACAGACTTCCATTGACAATGTAGTTGGGAGAACAATAAGATTCTGCAGAGCCTTATAAACATAAAAATTTTCTTTATTGCTTCAAATGATTTGAACATTATTTTAATGATCAAATATTAATTTTAGTTGTACTCAAAGTAAAAATGCCAAATTTGGGGGCTATTTTGTGATTCAGCAATCTTTTTTCTAAATGGTGTGAGATGTGTGTGAGTCTATTTATGCAGGATAGAAAGGAAAATAAGCAACTGGGGAGGCTCTAATGAGCCACTATAGCAAGGGATACAGAGGTTTTGTTTACTAAATTTTTCTTACTATTGTAAGCTCTGAATGGAAAATGCTTTATCATGTGTTTCACTTATGCTGTCATGTATATACCTAATATTTCTATTTTTTATTTTATTTTAATACACCTGGCCCAATAACAAAAAAAATTCTTGTTTTCAATTGTTTTGGATATATAGCAGAAGTAGAATTGTTCTCTTTTTTTGCTCTGGTACTCATTTCTGAAATGACCTTTTAATTTTATTTTTATTATTTCTTGAGTTCTGTCTTTGCTATTTTCAAATCTTCCTTTTTTTCAATAATTTTCTGAATTTTTCTAATTTACGTTTTTTGGCGCTGAACTTTTTCATCTTGGGATTCCTTTATACTCTTAAAAATTATTGAGGACTTCAAAGAGCTTTTATTAATGTAGACTATATTACTAATATGTACCCTATTAAAAATTGAAACAAAAATTTAAAATATTAACTCATTAAAAGATAACCCTAACATACCCATTATGTTAACATAAATAATATTTTTGAAAAATAACTATATTTTCCAAAATAAAAAACAGTGAGAGGAGGGGCACTGCTTTATATTCCTACAAATCTTTTTCATGTCTTAATTGAAGAGAGCCAGATCCTCATATCTGCTTCTGTACTAAATCTGTTATGTTGTTTTGGTTGAAATATATTTTTTAAAAAACCCTACCTTACACAGATATGTAGTTGGAAAAGGAAGAAATATTTTAATATCCTTTTCAGAGAATTATGGATATTCTTATTTGATATGACATTAAAACTGGACAAATGGTAATTTCCCAAAGTTTAGTCATATGTGGAATATTAAACCATATCAATGTACTTTTTTGTACTCTGTTACATTAAAACCCATTGGTATATCTTGCATTTAAGTGGATCTTTTACAAATGGATATGATTTTGTAACACCATGCCTCAGTCATTTGAAAAATATTAACTGGCTGAGATATGTAAGTCTTCCAAATATTGGTAAGTTTTGTTATACAACATTAAAAATCATATTTGTTAATATAATTACCAATCTCATTCAAAAAGTCTTTAACCCTGACTGGTATAGCTCAGTGGGTTGGCCGATGACCCGTAAAGCTGAAGGTCACCAGTTTGATTTCTGGTAGGGCACATGTCTGGGTTGCAGGCCAGGTTCCCAGTTGGGGGCGCACGAGAGGCAACCCATTGATGTTTCTCTCCCTCTCTTTTTCCTCTCTTCCTCTCTCTCTAAAAAATAAATAAGTAAAATCTTTTTTAAAAAGTCTTTAAATGTTGGGAAACTGTCAAGTTAGTGGTGGCAATTACAAGTTTTCCAAAATGCTAATTTCCGCTTGGAAGCTCAAATGTTATAATTGACAATAATTATATCAGCTGTTTTCCTTAAATGACAGGCTCACTTTGTTTATTTCCAAGAAAATTTCTGCCAGATATCAGGTCTGAATAATCATAATATGTCAGGGTTGTTTTTTTTTCCCCCAAGTAAAAACGGTGTTCCATTAAAAAGTGGCTGGTTCAGCTGACATCTCAAAAATCATGCAAGTGTTTTCTCTCAAGATACCCACCATACATTAATATGAGGCAGAAGTACTTCATGTATACTTCCCGTTTAGTCACACAATAAAAAAGATATGTACTTAAGGGTCAAGATTTAAGAAAATTAACCATTTTTACTGCTTTTTTCAAGGGCATTCTTAAGTGTAACTGGCTTCTGAAAAACAGTGCAAACATAAAATGGCGAAAAATACAATTACTGCAAATGAAGGTTGATGCTACTGCCTCTACTCATCCTAAGGCCCCTGTAGTTTTTGCTTTTGTTCCATAATTGCAAATGTCAACACAACAAGAAAGCTGTTTTGCAATTATTATGAAAATAATAGTTTAACGTAGTTTCAATTTTGTGGTCCCCTGTACATTGTCTCAGGGACCTCCAGGGGTCTAGAGACCCACACTTTGAGAACTACCACATTTTTGTTATAATATCTTTTAGCTTGCTTTGAAATATGTTATAATTTTCATTTGTTCTGTGGATGTTTCTAGAGTGCTTTCATTCTTTAGGGATGTTGTTATGCTCTTTTTCCTTTTAATAACCTCATATAAATTTTGACCATTATCCTTCTCTGTGGCTCTTTGTTTAAGAGCAGTGAGTCTTCCTATACTTTTAGATGAGAAAGGTGGGCCAGAATATCTTTTTTAGTTTCAAGGTTTTGGAGATTTCTGTTGTGTTCACAAAATACTAAAAATAGGGCTTTATGCATCCCGATATTGGCCACCTTTGCATCCCTCTCACACTTGTATTCGGTCTTTCTCTTTCCTTTGAACTGTTTCTCTGCCCCATTCAATGTGGATTCTGCTTCCACTATGTCCTCCCTGATGTGGTTACTGTCTAGAAATGGATCTTCAGTTTATTACTTTCTAGAATTTGTAGGTCCTAGACTGCTCCAGTAGCTTAAGATTTTATTTCAATGCAGTCCCCTAGCACTCACCTGCAAATTGGGTCCTGCAGAACCTCCTTTTGGTTTTTATCTCAAAGATTTTATTTATTTATTTATTTATTTATTTTTAAAGAGACAGGAAGGGAGGGAGAAAGAGAGAAGCATTGATGTGTGAGAGAAACATGATGGTTGCCTCTCACACACCCCCAACCCAGGCATGTGACCAGACCAGGAATTGATCTGACAGCCTTTCAGTTTGCAGGCCTGTGTGCAATCCACTGACCCACACCAGCCAGGGCCCTCCTTTCAGTTTTGATTATTATTTTCAGTTTGGTTCATCATACACTTGTCAGTGAGTTCCTACTGACAATTTTGAGGTTTTTCTCTTTTCAGTGCCCTTAGAAGTCTAGTTGACACATCTCCTTCTTTCTTTCTCTCTAGCTCCATATGTATATACACTATATATATACTTTAAGATGCAGTTATACATACACAATCACCCTTTCCTCACTTAGTGTATGTCTTGGAGCTCTTTCCATATGAGCATCTACAGATATATCTCATTCTTTTTAATGACTGCATAACAATAATTAACACACATACATAGCACCCACCATGTGTCTGGTACTGTTCTAAGTTTTGTATATATATTCATTTAATCCTACAACACCTTATGAATTAACTACTGTTATTATTTTTATTTTACAGGTGAGTAAACTAATGCACAGAGAAGTTAAGTGACTTGTACACGGTCACAGACCTAGTGCATTTTCCATTGTATCAATGTACTGTTATTTAAGACATCTAGTTCTACTCTTCTGCAGATGGACCCTTTGACAGTTTTTCTTTTCTTTTCTTTTTTCTTTTCTTTCCTTTTTTTCCAACTATCCTAAAACTTTTCTGCAGTTGGCATCCTCGTGGTATATATTGTATGTCCTGGCAAAATTTTGTGAGTTATATCTACAGGGCTTAATCCTAGCAGTGGACGTTTTGGATTTTTTTAAAAATTGTGTTTTGACAAAGATGCAAGGAAAATAAGACCAGCAACACTGAAAGGAAAAGAAACCAACAGAGACAAGAGGGAAGGAGGGAGGGATGGGCGGGGTGGGGGGGAAGGAAGAGAAGGGGCAAGTCAAGGAACAAATACCAAGAACTCATGGACAAAACCAAAGTGGGGAACGATTGAGGGAGGGAGGGAGGAGGGGGAAGGGGAAAGTGGTGGGGGGAAGGCAGAGACAGATGTATTTGGAAAAAGAAATTAATAAAAAAAATTTTTTAAAACTGTTTTGAGAACTTTTGGACATTTTAGTACATCCTTCAGGGTAATTAGAGAAACCCAAGGGTTTTTTTTTTTTTTTAAACCAAGGTTTTTTATGACTGTATTAGATTGTACTGTTGCTTTTAAAAGAAAGTTCTGATCTTACTGGGCTTGGATGTAGGGCCTTTCACAGGTGAGATATGGTAGGAAGGAAGGCCAATTTTCACTGACTACTCTTTATCCAAGCAGAGGTCATAATATATCTACTGATGATCTCTTTTCAGAATTGGTGGAGTCTCTTTCATTGCAGGGATCCTATGCTGGAAAAATCCATTCCATTGGTGACGCCTTCAGAAATTTTAAAAACCTCCGATCCTTAGATTTATCAAGAAATTTGATCACTAGCCTGAAGGTAAGTTCTGTAGTCTCTGATCAGCCAGTTCAGCCTTTCTTTTTTAAGGTGCTTTTTTTTTTTTTTTTCTTTTTTTTTAAGAGAGAGCGGGAGGGGGAAAAAGGAAGAGAAACATCAATGTGTGGTTGCCTCTTGCGCCCCCTGCTGGGCACCTTGTCCATAACCCAGACATGTGCCCTAGACGGAATTGAACCAACCACCCTTTGATTCACAGGCCAGCACTCAATCCTCTGAGCCACACCAGACAGGGCCATTCATTCATTCATTCATTCATTCATTCATTCATTCATTCATTCCTCATCCAAAGACATGCTTATTGACTTTAAAGAAGGGGAAGGAAGGGGCAGAGAGAGGAAGAGAAACATCAGTGTGAGAGAGAAACATCAATTGGTTGCCTCTCGGTTTATGGGACAACGCTCCAACCAACTGAGCCGTACTGGCTAGGGCTTATTTATTTTTTGATGGGAAGAAATAAGAGAGAGATAATGTCAGCCAGGGAAATACTGGATCTTCCTTTTAAACGTTTCTAAACTAAATTTTATTATTCATTGTAAAATTCTTTCAACTTTGTTCTGTTTGAAATTTTTTATTTTTTTATAAAATATTGAGAGAATTTCCTTTTGTACTCAGGGAAAATGATATTATCACAACCTAGAGCAACCGTACATGTTTTAATATGTGGAAAAAATTATGAGGAGCACTTATAAAAGTATAGATTCTTAGTCCCTACTCCAAGGGAGATTCTGAGTTATTGGGTCGATGTGGGCTTAGGACATATCCCAGGATGGTATTGGTACATGGAACACACATGAAGAAACACTAGACTAAGTTGTTACTGTGAGTTTTTTCAAGGAAGAGAAGGAAACGGTGGTCTTAAAAACAAAAATTTTCAGGTCAGGGAATGGTGGAGCAAAGGGCAGTATAAGAAATTGGGCAGAGTGTGTGAAGGTTAGTAAACACACTAAACACACAAAAAGAGCTCTATGGACATAAGCATGCACACACAGATGTGCAAGTTTTGTTTTCTTTGTGGTATACCCCCAAATGGTGTTTATTCCATATGTTCCCATTTTGCCCAGCTATGTACCTGTCTTGATAAAGCCCTTCTTTGCAAGACTAAAGAAGATGAAAGACTCTCAGATGCTATCTAGGATTAGTTCATGATTTCCTTGATTATTCTGCCAATTTTGCACTTCCTAGGAGATACTTGTTTGAAAACCCAAGCCAGACCCAATATCAATGTCTAAAACTAAGGGCCATGAAAGAGGAAGTCCAAATTTCCAACTAGGACTCTAAAAGCAGAAACTCCAAATTGACCTAGGGCTTTAGACTATTTGGTAGCAGCCACTTGTTTTGGGCCCATCAGGTTCGGAAAGTATTACTTAAGTGTTACTTAGGCCTTCTCTTTTCACATGTATTTTTTTCTTTTTCAGGCTAAAATAATTGAATGAACATTGCTGTAATTTGTTTTTTATACTCCCTTTTCACACCTGTCAAATGAATATAAAACTTTTGTGAAGATTGATCAAATTAGCATATGTAATCTCATACAATATTTATAAGTCTCCTGGTACAGTACTTCATATAAGGAAGCACTTAGTCAATGTTAGCTTTCTACATTTTTTGCATCTATGATTTATCTACATATATTAATCTCTATTAACTCAGAATCATTTTGCTTAGTTTTCCCAGGGAAGATATGTTTTAGGATTATTTCTAGTGTTACTTTGGGGAATATATGAATTCATGCCAACTAGGAAAAGTGAGAGAAGTCATTTCCTTGATTTTTACATTGAGGCATTAAAAGATTTCTTAAGCAGGGGCATTAGACACATTTAAAGACAGTTCTAATGGTGTATTTCCCGAGAGGGGCCAAAGGCACTGATAACTATTCTAACCACTAACCCTTTCACAATATAGAAGTTAATGGAATTGAAAAAGCCAAGAAGAAATGCATCAGAGTGTAAACAGTGTTCTATTTGTGACTGTTTTGTATATATCTTTGAGTTTTCTAAATTACCTGCAGTGAGGAAAAAGACAATTTTAAGTGAGAGAAGAATAAAAACATCATTTTATAAATACATGATAGAAAATAATTTTAACTTTCTGAAATAACAACAGAGTTCCTTTTATGGTAAGCATTTTTATTACTAAAAGTATGTGATTATACATATTACTTACATGTTTTGAAGTGCTGTCCTGAAATTTAGTGTTGGACAAAAGCAACTAACTAGTCAAATACCTAAACATTAAACAATTATTTTTAGTAGTAGGTTTCAGCAAAGGAGGAATATTGTGGCTTTTCCTCTGAGTTTCCCAGTCCTCATTCTTTGTTGCCAGATCAATGGAGGGGTGGGGTTGCTAAATCCTCAGAAAGAGAACTGAAGGAAGAACTTGCTTCTGTGGTGGCAGTTACTCTGAAAGGGGAAACAAGGACAAGAGGGGTTCCAGACTGGTCCAGGAGGGAAGACCTGGAGATAGCATTGTTTTATTTTCCCATATAGTCCATTGACCTTCTCCCCTAGAACCATCTCTTTTGCCTGCCTCCTTTCCTCTTGTAAATGGTGGTGTTTCTAGGGGCAGGATTGTGGTTGTGGCAAGAGTGAGAGAAGGGCAAAAGTGACTTGGCCTGGCTACCACTGGGAAGGATTGGATTGGGAAAATGATCAGGAAGCAACTGAAGCAGAGAATTGACTGCAGCCATTTAAATGTCTGAGTTTATAAAGGAGCAGATGTATGAGATCTGTGAATTATTAATCCTTCAGTATTCTTTTTCTTTCTTTAAAAAAATTTTTTTTATTGTTATTCAACTATAGTTGTCCCCATTTTTCCCCTAACCCTGCAGCATTTTTATTCTCAGGCAACTAAATGGGAGTTTCAACCCTGCTTTTCTCACTGATGACTTGGGTTACAAGTTTATGGATGGAAAGTAATAGAATATTTCCACCTTTATTTGTGAGATTCCTAGTCCTTATCAACATGCAGTTTCATATTGTGGTCTTTTCCTTGCAGGGCATCCAGTATTTATGTTCACTCCAAGACCTGAATTTATACTATAACAACATTCCTTCATTAGTGGAGGTGTCCCGCCTACAGCCTTTACCCTTCCTCAAAGAACTAGATTTGAGACTCAATCCTGTTGTCAGGAAAGATACAGATTATAGGCTTTTTGCTGTGTACACGCTACAAACTCTGGAGAAACTGGGTGAGACTCTCCTCCCCTGTTCCTTGCCCCAGAACCTTACTTTAAACCAGCTGCCTTTTAACTTTTTTGATGTGGGCTCAAAGTGTGCACTAGCAGGATATATTTGTTTATTAGTCAATATTTATGTAACTCCTTTGTTGGCAGGATGTATGACAAGTCCTTTTATTGTTTATTGAATGACAGTCTATGATTTTATCAGTTACTTCCAGCTTTAGTTTTCTTTGGTTGATGGTTTCACCACCATTTCCTCCCCAACAAAAAGTTTCCAGGTACAGATTTATTTTTCCAGATGCCTCAACTTTGCAACTGTATTAGCAATAGAAAATAAATACAACTCTTTGGGGCTGAGTTGGCAAGGAACAGTAAATATTCCTTCAAATTGGCTAGTCTATATTTCTTTGTAATGTTATTATTGAGTGTACCTTTATTGATATAAAATTTGATTTCACATGTTCCTTGAAAAGTTATTTTAGGGAAACTAAGAGATGTCTTTCAGAAATGATATAACTTTCAGCTTTAAGATTGGGCCATTTAGGTTGTTTACTGCCCAAGCTCTACTGCAGGGCTAGTTACACCTATGTGGCAGTTGTTGCTATGGTATCCATGTAGTCTCCCTGAGTTACTATTTGCTCCAGTGACAACATAATAGCATTATTTTGTAACCTGTCTCTAACAAAAGACTGGTCTTTAGTTTGTACTCTGTGAATATGGTTTTCTGACTCATTATGGTTTAATTTGAAAAAGAAACATGCTCAGATCACGATTTTTGCCTCCAGATGACCGAGCCGTGAGAGAAAGTGAGAGAAAAGCTGCCAAGCTGCATTTTAGTCAGTTGGGCAACAGTGAAAATTTTCTTTTAGAAGTGGAAAAAAGGTAAGAAGATTCTTTACAACAAGTTTTTTAGTTTGTATCTGGACATAGAGAGCAGTAAATTCCTGCTTAATTTTCTTTGTTTTCCAGCAGAAATCTCCACAAGTTGTAAGGATCCTCAGATCTGAAATAAAAGTATCTATCCAGCATATTGAGATTTATCTGGAATGAGAATCTTGCCCTCAGTGGGAACGTTTCTCCTTTCTTAAACTATTGGATCTGCTTTGAATATAATTGTAATTCTATTAAGTTGTTTACAAATCTTAGAGATACTATAAGATAATTTGTTATCCCCACAAATGCTTACAAACCCTTTCCTGGTAGAGTTATAAATCAGTACATGGTCTTTTCCTATTGAATTAGGAGCATTATGTTACCATGGGTATGGTTGTTAGAAATTCATCTGTTAAAGAATAATTGAAGCATTTCTCTACAAAACCAAAAGTAAACAGGTCTTAAAGCTCTAAAGTATCAGAATGGTAAAATTTCTATTCCTTGTTACTAAAATCCTTTCAAAATAAGGTACCACATCTTCTACCCCAAAACACATGCTTTTTATGAAAAAGTGGCTTTACAAGACTTCTGGTCAAGATGGCAGTTAGGCAGACATGGCTCACCTCTTTGCACAGCCACATCAAAATTACAACTAAAATATAGAACAACCATCACTCAGAACCATCAGAAATTGAGTTGAAAGGAAGTCTGACAACTACAAAATTAAAGAAAACACATCCATCCAGACTGGTAGGAGGAGCACAGACATGGAACCAGTTAGTCCCTCACCCATGTGTGGTGGATAAAATGTTGGGAGGGGTATTTTGGGAGTGAGGGGTCCCAGCCCCAAACCATGGCCCTTAGCCCAGGTTTCCAGTGCCAGGAAGAGAAGTCACTATACTTCAGCCTGCAAAAACCAGAGGGGATTAGGTCAGTGGATGAAACTGCTGAAGCCCCAAGCAGTTCCTCTTAAAGAACCCACACACGAACTTACTCGGACTCACTCCCTCTGAGCTCCAGCACGAGGATGTCAGCATGAAGGGCACCAGTGGCATACAGGGAGGGACTAAAGTGTCTAGCATCAAGAGCTTGGGGGACAGCTTCCTCCCAGACAGGAAGGCAGGGAGAGGCCACTGTTCCTTTTTTGAGCCCTCCATCTAAAGAGCCACAAAGCCTGCAGCTAGGTGACATATCAGAGACTCCATCAACCTGGCTAACAGTGTTTGCCTCACCCTGGTGATCCCCTAAGGCGCCACCCCACCCAACTTACAGCCCCCCAAAACTGTTAACAGTGGCTTTTCCATATAGGTGGCTGGTCTTGGCTCATGCTTCACAACTTCCTAAATCCTCTCAAACAAGCAACAGCTGGCCTCAGGGAGCCCCAGGCCGGACACCAGCAGCCTAGAATCACAGCTTGGCTTCTCCTGGGAATCTCCAAGCCCAGCACAAGCAGCAGCCATCTCAGATGGCTTTACAGCTCAGGCAGGGTGGCCCCAGGCAAAACACAGGTGGGGGCTGACCTTGGCCTGCACCACGCGGGACACCCAAGGGTCAACACACCCAGTGGACAGCTACAGACCATGTTGGAGCACCACCGCCATGCACAGCTGATCCTCCACAGAGGGCAGAGGTTGGCGGTCAGTGGTCACAGCCAGTCCTTGCAGCTGACTGGCCTGGGTAAATCCCTCCCACTGACCTGTCAACAGCAATCAAGGCTTAACTACGCAGAGGGTGCACCTTGAGTACCCAGCTTGGGTGATGGGGGAGGCTGTGCCACTGGACCCTACAGGATACCTACTGCATTAGGCCGCACTACCAAGACATGGAGTCAAAGCGGCTCTGCCTAACATGTGGGAACAAACACAGGGAACCTGCCAAAATGAGGGGACAGAGACACGAATGAAAGAACAGATCAAAGCTCCAGAAAAAGAGCTGAATGAAATGGAGATAAGCAATCTATCAGAGGCAGAGTTCAAAGCACTGGTTATAGGGATGCACGAGGAACTTAGCAAGGACTCAGCAGCTTAAAAAAGATCCGGTTGGAAAGGAAGCATACACTAATTGAAATAAAGAACAATTTACAGGGAAACAACAGTAGAGTGGATGAAGCAGAGAATTAAATCAATGATTTGGAACATAAGGAAGCAAAAAACAACCAATCAGAAGAACAAGAAGAAAAAAGAATCCAGAAGAGGGTAGTATAAGCAGCCTCTGGGACAATTTCAAGAGGTCCAACATTTGCCTCATAGGGGTGCCAGAAGGAGAACAGAAAGAGCAAGAAGATGGAAATCTATTTGAAAAAATAATGAAAGAAAACCTCCCTAATTTGGTGAGAGAAATAGACATGCGAGAGAGTCCAGGAAGCACAGAGAGTCCCAAACAAGACGGATGCAAAGAGGCCCACTTCAAGACGCATCATAATTAAAATGCCTAAGGTTAAAGATAAAGAGAAAATCTTAAAAGCAGCAAGAGAAAAGCAGTTAGTTACCTACAGGGGCGTTCCCATAAGACTGTCAGCTGATTTCTCAAAAGAAACTTTGCCGTCTAGAAGGGACTGGCAAGAAATATTCAAAGTCACGAAGAGCAGGGACCTACAGCCAAGATTGCTCTGCTCGGCAAAGCTATCATTTAGAATCGAAGAGCAGATAAAGAGCTTCCCAGACGAGAAAAAACTAAAGGAGTTCATCATCATCAAACTGTTATTCTATGAAATGTTAAAGGGACTTAGTTAAGAAAAAGATCAAGTCTATGAACAATAAAATGGCAATACATATATATCTATCAACAACTGAATCTAAAAAAACAAACTGAGCAAACACGAAGCACAGAGACAGAATCACAGGTACGGAGAGCATTTTGCTGGTTGCCAGATGGGAGGGAGTTTTGGGGGAATGGGTGAAGAGGTGAGGGGATTAAGAAGTACAAATAGGTTGTTACAGAATAGCCATGGAGATATAAAGTACAGTATAGGAAATGGAGTAGCCAAAGAACTCACACACATGACTCATGGACGTGAACAACAGTGGGTGGATTGCCTGAGGGATGGAGGATACTGGGTCGAGGGGGGCAAAAGGGAAAAAATCAGGACAACTGTAATAGCAATATTATATATTGCTGTAAATTGCAATATATATATATATAAAGTGGCTTTACAACTTTTGAAAATTAGGAGTCATTTACAACAATTTAAATAATACAGATAAGTACAGTGAAAAATGTCAAAATCACCCCATATTCTGCTACCAAGAGTTACCTACTAGCAATGTTTGGTGTACAGTCTTCCAGACGTCTGTGTGTCTATGGATAACATGTAGATGTATCTATTAGTATTTTTTTCTGAAGAGAAGAGTAATGCATGCATATTGTTGAAAATTTGGAAAGTATACAAAGAAATACAAAGAATAAAATAGTAACTCAATCCTACTAATAAGAAATAAACACTAATAATGTTATGGTAAATATCCTTTTAGTCTTATGTATATGTATATGTGTGTGTATATAATAATAATAATATTATATGCTATAATTATAAATAGTAAAACTTATATAAAATATATTTATTTTATAGTAATTTGCTTTCTCTAAATACCATTTTTAATATAATACATGAACATATCCCCACAATATTATATATTCTTCATTAGAATGAGTTTTTTATTTTTATTTGCTTGTTTATTGCCTTTCTCCACTAGAACGTAAGATCCATGAGAACAAGTACGTTGCTTCTCTTGTTTATGCAGTATCCCTTGTGCTTAGAGCAGTGTCTGACACATATAAGGTGCTAAGAAATAATTTGTCGAGCCCTGGATGGTATGACTCATTGGATTGTGAGAAGCAGTCATTCAATGTTTCTCTCCCTTTCTTTCTCCCTCCCTTCCTCTCTCTCTAAAAATAAATAAATAAAATATTTTTTTAAAAAAAGAAATAGTTTGTTGAATGATGAATAAATGAAGGCAATGCCTGTTGGCCTGAGATCTTTCTCTTTTCTAGAGACTTTGCCTATCTCTGCTCTGAATTCATTGTATGTTTTATAATGTAACCTTCAGAGAGCATCCTTAGTTTCTTATTATTTTCTTTTTAAGTTACCTATTTTTAAAGTCAGGTTTATTGAGGTTAATTTATATAGAGTAAAATTCACCCTGCAGTAGAAAGAAATGGAGTGTTTCTTAAAAATCATTTGTATAGCCCTGACCAGTGTGGCTCAGTCGGTTGGGTGTTGTCCTGCAGAGCTTGAGGTTGCTAGTTCATCTCCTGGTCAGGGAATGTACCTGGGTTTTGGGCTGGGTGCCCAGTTGGTGGCCTGTGGGAGGCAGCTGATCAGTATTTCTCTCCCTCTCCCTCCCTTCCCCTCTCTCTAAAAATAAATACATGAGAATATTGTTTTTAAAAAGCATTTGTATACATGTATTTTATAAAGTAATTTCTATCTTTTTAATTAATTTATTTATTTTAGAGAAAGGGGGAGGGAGGGTGAAGGAGAGAGAGAGGGAAACTTCAATTCATCAAAAGGTTGCCTCTCATATGCCCCAAAGTGGGGACCTGGCCCGTAACTCAGGCTTTTTCCCTGACCAGGAATTGAATCAGTGACCTTTCTGTTTGCAGGCCAAGACTCATGCACTAAGCCATACCAGCCAGGGTGTAATTTCTATTTTAAATGCATTGGGGTACCCTGCTTACTATAGAGATACAGAGATGAATTATGTATAAATGAATAAACTTTCTGGTAAGGCAAATAATTAGTGCCATAATATTTCTGTTTAGTTACCATATAATGATTACAAAATCAGAGGTAAAATGTTACTCAAGTGCCCTGTATTCTCTTACAAGCTTTCTAACCTTGGGTGAAAAAAATTTTTTTCAAGCCTTTCTGAGTCCCAGTTCCCCCAACCCATAAAATGGGGATAATAGGTCATAGGAGAGCTTTTATGATTAAATGAAATGGTGGGTATAAAGTGCCTGCCTCATTATGGAGGTTGTGTACTTACTGTACTTCTCAATTTAACTGTAGTACATTACAAACACTTGACTTTTTTTCTGTTTTTCTAATTAATGGCTATAGTTATTGGCTATGTGTGTGTATATAATAATAACAATATTATATGCTGTAATAATAAATAGTAAAACTTATATAAAATATATTTATTTTATAGTAATTTGCTTTCTCTAAATACCATTTTTAATATAATACATGAACATATCCCCACAACATTATATATTCTTCATTAGAATGTCTCCATTTTAATTCTTTGCAGCAGAACCTTCCTTTCTGTGTTTTGAGGTTTTTAATTCAAAAGAAAATATCTTATTCCCTCAAAATAATTCAGACCTAAGTTTGCACCAAGAGTCAAGTATGAATTTTCTGGCTTTCATATTTGAAAGGCTGAGCTATAAATGTCCTTCTCTATCATGTTCCCAGTAAAAATATGACTTTAAAAATGGATTTAACTGAAATTTTTGTGAAATTAATAAGTTCTAGAGCATTTTAAAATGTGACCATCATGAATTAGTGTTTTCTAAATAGCATTAATTGGTGACTTCAGAAACCGTCTTTTGAGTTTTAAATCAATTATTCTACATGACAGCTCCAGGGAGAAGACAATGAAAAACTGTGTGACCGATGAGAGCTCTGCATCAAAAGTCAGTACTGATGTTGACAACAGAATTGAAACTGGTAAGTTTTCTCTCTCTAATCACAAATGATTGAAATATTAGTTTTTTCAGCTTTTGTGATGAATCTTGGGTAGAATGAAGACAAAATAGTTGAGAAATGACATAGATTTGAAGCAAACACAAGATTTACTGGCTGTGTTTTTCCTTTCTCTCACTGCCAGGAGAGCCCTATTTATTGAGCAAGCCTAAGCCAGAGCCAATCAAAGCACACGCTGTACTTGGAGTTCAATTTCATTTATATCACTTTACATCATTAGTACACCCTGAAAGTTGCATTGCCAGTCCCCCACGGACCCGTTCACATTGCTAAGGTGATTGATACATTAGCCAGAGACTCATGACTCATCTGCCATCGATGCAGCTCACATCCTGGACCTTTTGTGCTTCTCCACCTGGAACCTTTGCAGCTGCAGAATCTATGTTTGTGCTGTATTCCTAGGCAGTGTTGCCTGTAAGCATTGTTGGTAATTTACTATTATTACAATGGTTATGCCACATTAATGTTGGTGCCACAGGCTAGAAGAAAGCTTTCCACTGGAGAAACTGCATGCCATGGGCCCTTATGGATTAACCTGGCACTTGTCAGATAACCTTTTTTACTTGAGAAAACTTTCTTCTGTGTCGAGGCCTCTATCCCTCTGAAGGATCTATTGAATTATATACAAACTCTAAAAGTCAATCTCAAAATCCCAGCAATAAATTTAGTAGATTCACTGTGTAGTTCAGACATTAAGGGTTTTCAGTTTATAACATATAGTCTTTTATTTTCCTGACTTATCTATCCATGTGGACATTTATTGACAAGCCATTTTTATAGTATTTCATGGTAAAATAAGCCATAGTGAGGCATGATTTTTATTTTCCTTTCTTGGAAGTCTCAATGTACATAGGTCATGGACCATGTCATTCTTTATTTCATTTTAACTTTTTTTTCAATCCTCACCTGAAGATATGTTTGTTGATATTAGAGAGGAAGAAAGAGAGAGAGAGAACCATCAATTGGTTGCCTTCTGTATGTGTCCTGCCTGGGAACCAAATCCACAACCTAGGTAGGTGCCCTGACCAGGAATCTAACCCATAACCTTTTGGTATATGGGACAGTGCTCCAACCAACTGAGCCACCTGGCTAGGGTATCATTATTCTATTTTAAATAGCATTTTTAATATTTCAGAATTGATTAAATTATATTGTAATAATTTTGGAAAATGTTGAAAAGCATGAAGAACAATATTTTAATCACTCATAAATCTTTTCCCTAAAGAGAATCCCAGTTAATTTGGTATACAGCCTTCCTGTCTTTTCTAGGTACAAGCATTTATATGTCCACTTTCAGAAAGACAAAGATACATTGAAGCATAATTTGCCTTTTTGTGTGAGCTGAATTAAATTTCACTTATGCCATATTACATCATTACCGCACACAAAGATTCGCTCCATGAATTAAAATGTTTTAAAGTCCATAATCTCTGCTGAGAAGAAACTGCTCTATGAGACACAGGGCCCTTTTCTAAAGGTTCTTAGAAGCTCCAGCTGTTGCCTGGGTTTTTTTTTAATATAAAATTTCTTTTGCTATTTTGAAACGTTAAAGAGCTTTGCTTTCCACTGAAAATTATATTTCAGCTAGATCCCTGGGGAGTTTTGCCTGTAAGTACTGTTGGTAATTTGATATGACTAATGTGCTTATCATGTTAATGGTCCTGCCACAGGCTAGGAGAAAACATTTTGGAAAACAGTTCCCACTAGCTCAGTTGTTCAAAACAGTGTTTTCCCACCACTTAGAATAGGCAGGGAAATTCCAATGTCTTGGATCCTCATCTTACCCTCCTTACTATGTAATCTTTGTCTCTTTCAGAGGTTCCTCTCTTTCCCCACACCCCTTAAATAGGCATATCTAGACTATGTCTTTAGACTCTCTTCTTTCTCTATTCCTTGTCTGTATTGATTTCCTCTATTTCCACAGCTTGCTTTATTTCCTCCCTGTGACTCGTAAATGTATTGGCCTAGCCTTGACAAACTGTATCAGGCTCTCTCTGCACCAGTCTACCATTTCTGTTGACCAACTAGTAATATACACTTGAAATCACAGCTGGATAACTTTCCAGCCCATCAGGCTAAAGACGTTAAAAAACCAAATGAACCCCTTTCCTCTAGCTCTAAACTGCATCTAGGGTCTCATCAGTGTTACCCCCGCTTTCCCATTACTCAGGCTCAGAACCTTAGTGCTTGGTATTTCTTTCTCCCCTAAAGCACAGCTGAATGTTCATACTCTATAGTATGATCCACAATTGACAATCTTTTCTTTCCCTTTCCTAATAGTCTCTTAACAGGTATGCTTAGTAGCTGTCATTTACTGAGTGTAAATGCTGGGCCAGGCTCTGTGCATTATCTTGTTTAATCCTCACAGCCACCTCGAAGGAGGATATAATTATCCTTGGTTTAAAGATGAGGATACTGAGACTCAAAGAGGTGAAATAACTTGTTCTAGTTATACAGTAAATGGCAGAGCTAAGATGCAAATTCTGGTCCATCTGTCATCAAAGTCCACTTAACCATTACACCATGTTGTCTCCCAGTCCCTTCTTCCTTCAGTGTATTTTGTACTTTCCTGTCAGGGTAATTCTCTTAAAACTCAGCTGTGATACTTGTACTTACTTGCCTGCTCCAAAACTTCCATGGCTCCCAATCACCTACTAAATTAAGATTCATTAATCTGACATACAAACCTCCCCTAAACTCTGGCTGCAGTTTCTCTCTTCGGCCTACCCTGTAACCTTATCTTCTGTTTCTTAACTACAGTGTCCAATGCTTCAATCAAACCTAACCACTCCCTCTTCCTCAAATAGTCCTTTCTTTTTTCCTTCATGTGCCCCTGAACTAATGCTGTACCTACTGCTTGGAATGTTTTAATCAAAATCCTGCCCTTTCTTCATGACCTAACTCAAAGCCCATCCTTTTTAGTGCAACTATTTAAATTGCTTCAACCAAAAAAAAATTGTTTTTTCCATAAACTCATGTAACTTATCTTCTGGTTCATATACTCTGTAAATAGAAAATAACTTTAAAGAGTGGATATTGTGTTTAGATGCATAAAAATCTTAATGAAGTCCTATTTTTTGTTACTTTGCCTTTTGATGTCACATCCAAAACACTGCCAAATCCAATGTCACGAAGCATTTGCTCTGTTTTCTTATGAGTTTTATAGTTTTAGGTCATACATTTAGGTCTTTGAGCCATTCTAAGTTAATTTTGGGGTATGGTATTAGGTAAGTGTTCAACTTTATTCTTTTGCATGAGGGGTGGGGCATGGGTAGTTGCCACTGTGCTAAGAGCTGAAAATGACCAAAATTAACACCAATTTACTTTCTAAGGCTTTGTTTGGAAAATGAAAGCATTCAATCCCAAAATAACTATATTAGACAGATTTTGCCAGCATAATTGTGGCCTACATGGGAGACACATGCAGAGTGCTTCCTTCTCCTCCATATTTCCTTGTCTCCATAGTTTTTCCTTTTCCAGAATGTCATGTAGTTGGAATCATACAGTGTGTATCCTTTTTAGACGGCTTCTTTTACTCAGCAATATAGAGTTAAGGTCTCTCCATGTCTTTTCATGGCTTGATAGATCCTTTCTTTTTTAATGATGAATAATGTTTCATTGTCTGATTATACCACATTTATTCATTCATCTCCTGAAGGACATCTTGGTTGCTTTCAAGTTTTGGTAGTTATGAAAAAAGCAGTTATAAACATCCATGTGCAAGTGTTTGTGTGTACATAAGTTTTCAGCTCCTTTGGGTAAATATCCAAGTGTTTAGTTTTGTAAGAAAATGCCAACTGTCACCCAATATAATCTTTTAAAATATATTTTTATATACCGAGTCTCTTAAATTGAACTTTCTTAAACTGGATTCATATTCTCAGAATTTATGAGAATGGTGAATTTAAGAAACACTGAAGTAGATGGGCTCATGCTACAGAACCTCAGAGTGTGCTAGGAGCAGAGTGGGGGAGATTTTGTGGCAGATGTGGAAACAAGCCCTTAATGGCTGGAGAGCACTGGGATGGCCTGAAAGGAAGAGCGGGGCATGGGTTGGTGGGACTGGTGTGAACAGCGTGGAAAGTGTTCATGAACACGGCAGGTCATGGAGACAGTTGAGTGATATGTGGTCTGGGTAGGAGGTTTGAGTTGTTTAGAAATGGTCAGATTATTGGAGAGCAGTGAATGCCTTACTGAAAATAATTTACATTTATCCTGAGGGTCTATGCATACAGTATACATACATTTTGTGAGTTGAAAGGAGTCCTGCTTACTTTTAGTCAATTTCTTTTGCCTTGAAATGGAATCACATCTAAAATATACTGACATAATGCATATCTGATATAATGCATATCTCATTTAAAAATAGCAAGGAAAAATTTACCCTTTACAGTCACCCTCAATGCCTCATTCCTGAGTCTAGCAGATGTGTCATTGTCTTCTTAATAATTCATTGATATCCATCCCATGTCAACGTGTTGATTCTTGTCTTCTAGTTTAGTCATGGTGCTATTTTAGTTGAATAAAAATCAGGCTTGGGCCCTGGCTGGTGTGGCTCATGGATCAAGTGCCAGCCTATGAACCACAAGTTTGCTGATTTGATTCCCAGTCAGGGCACATGCCTGGGTTGCAAGCCAGGTGCCCCACTGAGGGCGTGCAAGAGGCAACTGATCAATGTGTCTCTCACATATTGATGCTTCTCTCCCTATCTTTCTCCCTCCCTCCCCCTCTCTCTCAAAAATAAATAAATGAAATTCTTCCAAAAATTTCAGACTTGGAATAGGCGAGAACTCCTAAAATAGTAGCTTAAACAAGATAGAAGTTAATTTCTCTCTCATATAGAAATCCAGATGTTGGCAGTCTAGAGCTTTTATATGAGTGGGGAAGGGTTCTTAAGAGGTGAATAAAGTCAATCTCTGCCACAGTGGAAATGAGAGCAATTCAGCAAACAAGTGTATATCTACTGGACAAATCTTGTGTTAGAAGCTAGGCATATAGGAAAATGGAACAAGAGTCAGATTTTCAGATACTTTCAGTGCAGAGATTTATCACAACTGATTAGGTACAAGTGAGGCTGAGATAACTGTGGCAGAGATTAAAAAAAAAACAAAAACAAAAACAACAGGGGGGAGAAGCAATAGCAGTTTGTGCTGACTGGGGACCTAGAAAAAGGTTTCACAAAAGAGAAGACATTTAAATTGGGCATTCAAATAGCATTCAGTAGGAAGAGTTGATCATTCAATGCAGTGAGAATGGCACCACAGTACAGGTATGACAGATTAGGAAGTTGATCAGTTTGTGGCTGGAGCAAAAGTGCCTGACTCAAGTCAAGTTGCAAATGACCTCTTTTAGTAACCATTTCTATTTTATTTTCTTGCAAATGGGTAACAAAGATTTTTATATGAAAGGTATGATTAACTGTGATTTATAGAGAGAAATCAAGCTAGATTTAGATAGGCAACAATTAGAGGCAGTAATCCAAGTGGGAGATAATGAAGACCTGTCTGACATAGGGCCATAATAACAGTGTGAATGCAAATGAGGAAGTACAGATTGATTAAATCCTTGAGGAATGAGAAGAAGACATGGAAATAAAGCCTTAAGTATTTTTACCCGCATTGTTTTGCTAGAGAGTCTAAACTTTAGAAGAGTTGAATTTCTGAATAAAAGACATATCAGATATTTAAGGGGAAAAAAATACAAGGTTACAGGCAGTCTGTTTATGGTGAGAGAAAAACCACTGATTTCCTTTCATGATTATCATATCTGCAATGGTTATCATATATTAATATTTCAGAAGTCAGAGATTAAGTTGTTTCCATCAGAATTAGCAACTTAAAGGAAATGGCTCAAGGCTTCATTTATTTTATAGACTACTGCTAGACTAGTTCTGCTCTTAAAAATTTGTTTCAGTAGAATCTAGGATACAAGATGTTTATTGGAAATCAGCACCAAAAGGAAACAGAGGAAGGAAGGTGGAGCAGAGAGAGAGAGCTAGAGTGAGGACTGCCTGCCAGAATGTCCCACAACAGGCAAATGCTTGGGCCTCATTCAGTCACTGGATGTAGACCACCTGTGGAAGGGAATGACATCAGGAGGCAGTTCTCCAAAGCTGAGGCAGACCCCGAAGAGCAGCAAGTCCTTCCTTGGAAGGGATCTGGGCAGTGCGCCTCTTTTTCAACCTCACATAAATTACAAGGTTTTTGGCCAAAAGTGTGAAGTGGGGTTTCATCCAACTATTATTACTGGTATATGAAGTAACCAGCTATTGGTTATTTGCACCTGTATCAGCATTATAAAGCCACTTCTCTGTCACTACAAATATCAAACAATTTTCAGTGGTTAAAAAAATGTTGAATTATGGTTCTATCATATTGGTTATGTGGGTGTAAAACCTGGAGTAGACAGCAATGACATAATTACATTTGCTTTTGGAATTAAGTTCTGGATATATTTTATATCTGAAGAAAAAGAAGAAGGTAAATTGAAGTCTAAGACAAGAAAAAAAGCCAGTCTCAGACTGCAGATTGCTGCCTTTTCCTGATTTTTCCTAATTGTGGTAAATGGCATACTTAGTTATAATGGCAGCAGAGGCAGTTTTTCTTTTTTAGGAGTGAGCCTATATCTTGGCAATGACACCAAAAGCATAACAACAAAAGGAAAAATAGATGAATCAGACTTCATAAAATTAAAAACTCTTGTGCTTCAAAGGACAGTATCAAGAAAGTAAAGAGACAACTTACAGAATGGGAGAAAATATTCACAAGTCATATATCTGATGAGCATCTAGTATCCATTCTATAAAAAGAATTTGTACAACTCAATAACAAAAACACAAATAACCCAATTAGAAAATGGGCAAAGGATTAAATAGACATTGCTCAAAAGAAGATATGCAGCTAGCCATCAAGCACATGAAAGATGCTCAACATCGCTAGCCATCAGGAAAATGCAAATCAAAACCGCAGGAAGATCTCATTTAGACCCACTAGGAAGGCTAGACTCAAAAGGACAGATAACAAGTTATGGCAAAGATGTGGATGGGAAGGATGTGGAGAAATTGGAACCCTCGCATATTTTTGGTGGGGAAATAAAATGGTATAGGATAGCTTCTTTGGAAAACAGTTTTTCAAAAAGTTAAACATAGAGTTGCCATTTGACCCAGTAACTCCACTCTTAGGTATATACCCAAGAGAAATGAAAATACATGTCCACAAAGACTTCTGCAGAAATGAAAGCAGCATTATGGCCAAAAATCCCATCAACTAATAAATGGACAAACAAAATGCAATTTATCCATATAAGGCATATTATTCATCCTAAACAGGAATGAAGTACTGATACATGGTATAGTACAATGTGTATCTTGAAAACATAATGTTAAGTGACAGAAAGCAGATATGAAAGATCAAATATTGCATTATTCCATTTACGTGTGATGTCCAGAATATCAAATCCATAGGGTCAGAGAGTATATTGATGGTTGACCGGAGCTGGCGGTGAGGAGAGAATTGAGAGTGACAGCAAACTGGGTTTCTCGTAGAGTGATGAAATTGGATAGCAGTGATGGTCGCTTACCTTTGTGAATACACTGAAAATCACTGAATTGGATACTGTAAAAGGGTGAATTGTATGGTATATGAATTATATCTCAATTATAATAAAGATTTGCCTTCCACACACAAAAAAATGTGATTCTATAGAACTTGGTAATTGAGATTTGAGATGAGTCTAAGAACAACTTTCTATCTTGGGGGAGTGGGTGAGCAATAATGCCAATACTAAGATGTAGGTAGGGGATGGAGGTGAAGGCTGTCATCAGAAGTGGTTCTGGAAGTGAAGATAAGAGTTTGGTTTAGAAAATACTGACTTCTCAGTTGTCAATGGGGCACTCTTTGGTTGGGGGGTGCAGTTCAAGAAACTTAGGTTTAGATATCAAAAGAGAGATAATAGTTAATAAATTTAGATTTAGAGTCATTCAACTTTTGGTGACAGCTAAAACCAAAGAGAAGGTATGATAACATTCAGCAAAGAGTTTGGACCTTAGATTTGCTAGAACCAAGAAGAAGGTTGAAAGACAAAGAACCTGTGAATCTAGAAAAGAGCATTAGTGTGGTAGGAGGAAAACACAGATGGAGCAATGCCTTGGATGCCTGGGATGTAAGTGTTAGGTGTTGTTCTGTAGGATAAAGGTAAGAGGAGCACTGAACCCAAAGTCATAGCTTAGTAACCATTCTCATTTTTCGCTAAGAACCAGGTTTAAACAAGCATTTCTGCTTTGCCTTGTTTTTTTCTGTGTTATTACTCTTATAGGAACCGGAGAACAGAAACTTTGAGAGCTTATGTCCCTTTGAGAAAAGTAGTTTGGCTAAGCACAATAGTGGAAGAGCATCTTGTGTTAAAACCTTAAGACATTTCAGTCCCTGTAGGCAACTCAGAAATAGGAAGCACTTAAGAGCCCCAACTGGACTGAGGGGCTGGATTTTCAAAAGGCTGGCTTTATTTACTCTGTTTTCTCAGTTGTCCTGGCTTCTAGTAGCTTTCTGTTGCCAGGGCCTGCAGATGAGAACTAGCAGAAGAGCACATGTTTGCCTAAGGCCCAAGTTTTTGGAACTACCTTAATTCTTACACAATCCTGTTAGGAACAAAACCTCCCTAAACCAAAAACTTGTTTTCATCCACATTCCCCCAGAAGACCCCAAATCCCAGAATTCTACAATAAATTAGAATTTATTAAGAACGTGCAAAAGGTGTTATAACTGCACAATGTTATAATTTAATAGAAATCCTAACTAGTTCTTTCTTTTTTAATTCTTACCCAAGGACATGCTCATTGATTTTAGAGAAAGGGGAAGGGAGGGAGAAAGAGAAGGAGAGAAGCATCGATCGGTTGTCTCTCATATGCCCCCTGACCGGGACAAAACCCAAGCCATACCAGCCAATGCCTAACTAGCCCTTTTCAATAAGTTTCCAAAGTGGCCAGGAGTAGAATAAAAATTTTGTTTGTTTTTTTCTTTTTAATTTTAGAGTTGCTTCTCTAATAATAGGTTAAAAAACAAACAAACACAGAAAGACCCACTGGGAGCCCTAAGCATTTAGCATTCTTCTCTGAGAGGTAAAGGTCCTGATTAGTCTTTCTTTTTCCAAATGAGGAACTCAAGAAAGAGCCTGGTTTGAAATGATGAATCATAGCAGACTGCTGATGAGAGCCCTGGACATACACAATGTCAGATGTCTGTTTCTAGCTATCTCCCTCTGTAGCTGGAGATTGTTGAATTGGTCTCAAAGTTCCTTATTTATTCACTTATGAAATGTGTATAACATTCGTCACCTTCCTAATTTCTCTTGAGCACTTCATAATTTATGAAGCCATTGCATACCTATTTTCTTGTTTTAACTTCACCTCAACCCTAAGAGATAGGCAGATTAGGTTTAATCAGCACTGTTTTACAAATGAGGTAAGAGATTCAGAGAGGTTAAGCAATTTGCCCAAGTATACATGGTTTCCAAGTAGTGTCACCAGAACTAGCTCTCAATCTCGTGACTTCCCTTTTAATATCTTTCCATAAGACATGTTGCCTTTGACAGATGGTCAGTACTCCATTGTATGCCTTTTCTTTTAACACAGATTCAAACAAAGGACTATTTATTCCCTTTCCCAGCCGGGAAATAAAGGATTCCCTAACCAGCACTTCAACAACCCAATGCAACAGTATACCAGATCAGAAATTAGACACTTTTTCACTGGGGACACAGGTAATGTATTCACTTTCCTGCTGATCTGTTGACTGGTCAGTGATTAATACTAGTAATTCAGTGGGCTCTCGATTATTTCTGAAGATTTAATAGAACTTGTTTGATGAAGTATTTTAGACCCTTTAAAAGAAGGCAGGACAGGGGGCAGAGGACCTTCTGCATTAATTTCAATCTTCCCTTTCCCTTTCCCCCACTAACCTGTTATCAAATGTAGTATATTTATACATATAACTTTAGCACACTTTATGCCAGGTATTTTGGCCCTCAAACAGGGATGCATCTGTTAGAAATTTTGGCTGGTTTTTACATGTTTCCTCTCTACCCAATGTCTCCATCTCCTATTACCTTGCTTCTTACATTTTCTACCTCTGTCTTTTAATTACTGAATCTTATATCTCAGAGGTGACTTTCCCAAAGCTACCTCTTCATTGGAACAAAAGAAAAAAATCAAGTAAAAATGGTACAGTAGTTGCGGACAATGGGGAGGTAGAGATCATACAAGTTGGGGGAAATTTTTAAAATAAGTTCATAGTGGAAAAAAATGGAGCGGGATACAACCATTATATAAGACTTATTCGTAAGAGTGAATGTAATGCAGAATTGACTTCTTTATATTCAACTTCTCTTTTTGTCTACACTTTAAAATATATTATGAGCAATGAAATTGCTGAAAATAGCCATAAAAAGGAAAAATAAAAAGAAGCAAAAGCTCTGATTAATCCATTATATGGGTAATCAACACTGACTGGTAAAAAGTAATATTTTTTTCAGATTGAGTATATGCCTTTATCTTATAAAAAGACAGAGTAGCATTTAGTTGGTTTCTTTGTTTTTGGAAATTCTAATTGAGTGACTTGGAAGCTATCTCAGTTACCATTTTTAATGCCTTAGTATTGATTTAAAGGAAATAGAGATATAGGATATTCCAACAAAGTTAAATAGCTCCTTTTACACTAACATACCTAACTTTTTAAAAATTACTTCTTGAAGTGAAAGAAAAAAGGAAATTAAATAGCTTGCTGTGTATCCTTTTTATTTAAGAAATAGCAGAGGGATTTTTTCTCTGCATAACTACCTACCAAAACTATACTAAATATTTTAAGATGAGTTTTGAAAAAACAAACCCTAGATGGCTGGCTTCCTATTTTGTATCAGTTGTGACTCAGATTAATTTTCAGTCTATTAAAGCTCCCAGCAGCTCCTAGGGTTGATACTCAGCTTTACCAGAAGGTAAAATAAGTATGGGAGTTCTTCAAAAAGAAAAAATAAAGGTGGAAAGGGTTGTACCATCTAACTTCTATGCTGAGTTATCTAAGCAGGAAAAGTACAGTGTTTCACTGGAGTGTCCTTTACCATCTAAGGATTTTTTTTTTTTTTTTTTTTTTTTGTATTTTCAAGGAACCTCCTTACCTACTCCAAAGCAACTCTGGAAACTCTTTATATTGTGGCAGTTTTAAAATAGACTTAAACCTGGACCTTTGCTTGGAGGTCTGTTTCCCTAGTCTCAGAATACATAGGAAAGTATTCTGAATCACAGGTGTGGAAAGCTCACCTTCTCCTAAACTTTCAAACTTTTTTTAGATGCAGGAAGTGGCGAGAAGGGAGCTGCCAAGTGATAATCACCAGGAAGATGGTAAATATTTTCCTCACTGGGTATTTTTTCGCCACATTAATCAAAGAAATCTAGATGTAATGGGATTTGGGAGAAGAAGACATCTCAGCCCTGGAGCCTACGTGGTCAACTAACTCTTCTCTGCTTTTGTGAGGGGCTGCCCTCAGTGCTTAGCAACGTGTAAGGCATTTCTGGTTAAAGAATGGATATTCTGACTTCCTTTGTTCTTGACTTTTTGGGTTGGTTAACTATTCCTTGTTGCTTTTTCTTACCTTTCTTGCTATCTTTTGAATTTATAGTTTTTATTCATCCATTTTTTTCCCCTCTACTAGTTTGTAAGTTATACACTGTTTCTATACTTTTAGTATTATTTCCAAAACTACAATATGTGTTCTAAACTTATACAATTATAAAATTAACCAAGACCTTAATTCTTTCCTTAGATAACTTAAACACCTTAAAGTACTTTAATTCCTTTTAATTTCTCCTGATTTTTTTATACACACACACACACACACACACACACACAGAGTTATGGATTTTAATTCTCTATGTATTTTAAAACCCACAAGATACTTTCATACAGTCAATGCTCATTTCAATTTATCTACTTCGTTTGCCCTTCATTTCTTTTTTCATCTCAGATTTCTCTCCTGAGACCATTTTCTTCTAGCTTATAACACATTTTTTAGAATTTCCTTTAGTATGGGTCTACTGATGATGAACTCTTTCATTTTTCATTGTCCAAAAATGCCTCTATTTCATCATCATTATTGAAGGGTATTTTTGCTGGGTACAAATTTCTAGGTGGGCAGAATATTAAAAGTATTCCACTGTATTCTGTCTTTTGTGGTTGCTTTTGAGAAGTCAGCTGGAAATCTGTCACCTCTGGAAGGATAATCTCTTTTTTTCTCTGGCTGCTTTTAAGAGTTTTCATTTCCAATCATAGTTTCACTATGTCATGTGGATTTCTTTTTATCCTATTTCTTATTTATTACACTTGAATCTATGATTTGTGTCTTATTATCAATAGTTGTGGAAAATATTTCTTTTTTTAAAAAATTTTTATAGATTTCATTTATTCTCAGAAAAAGGGTAAGGGAGGGAGAAAGAAATGGAGAGAAAAATCTATTGGCTGCCTCTTGCACACACCCCCATCTGCACACTGGCCTGCTACCCAGGCATGCGCCCTGACCTGCAATCTAACTGGTGACCTTTTACTTTGTGGGACAACGCCCAACCAACTGAGCTATACCAGGCAGGGCAGTTCTGAAAAATGTTTCAAATATTGTTTGTGTCCAATTTTTTCTTGTCTTTCTGGGACTCTTGATTAAATAAATATGTATCAGAGATTTTCACTTTGTCCTCTTTGTTTTTTATTCCTTTATATTTTTCATCTTTTTTTTTCCTTTGGCTGGTCTACATTCTGGATAATCCCTTCTGACCCATCTGTAAATTCACTAATGTTCTCTTCATTTGTGTCTAACTTGCTGTCTGCTGCATTCTTAATTTCAATTGCTTTATTTTTCAGCTCTATAAATTTGATTTGGTTATTTTTTAAATCTGCTGTGTCACTTTTTCATAAGCAGAAAATGTCCACCTTATTATATACTGCTTTTTTTAAATATATATTTCTTTGAACATAGTAAACATAGCTGTTGTATAGGCTACATCTGTTAATTCCAATATCTGAAGTTTTTGTGAGTTGGTGTTATCTATTTTTTCTACTCATTCTCATTTATATTGTATTATTTCCTTTTTTGTTTGTTTTGACTATTTGCTGGCTATTATATTTGAAAAATTATATGTAGGAATGATTTAAAGTTTTGCATGAAGGTATCTTTTCCAGATCAGATTTTCATTTCCTTCTACCAGGGGCCTGGGGCACTATTATTTTGGAATCACCTTAATCCAAACTCAAGGCTTGAGCTTCCCTAGACCAGTCCGGATGATGTAAATTTGGATTACTAGTCAGTGCAGGTTCTGGTTTACTTCCAGTTTACCTTTACTCTGAAGGTTGTATTCTGCTCAGGGTTCTGTTGTAATGTGTGTTAGGGGGCCAAGAATGTGAGATGGTTTGTCTACTCTTTACCATGGATGGATCCGGGACTTGGACTTCTATCCCGGTTACCCTAAAAATCTTTAGGGTAAAGTGAATTTAAGTGCTAGACTTATCTATAGGAGGGAGAACCCCAAAATACTGGAAATATCTTCTGGATGGTGGGCCCGTTGGAGTACAAGCTTCCTCAGCTAGATGAGTGCTCTAGGAAACCATCTGTATCAGTGTACCAGCTGGCGTTGTTGTGGGAGGCTGCACTCGGCTTCAGTGAATTTTTTGAAGACTCTTTGAATGCATTTGCCCATTCCGTAGTGGTTGGTTTACGAGCACACCTGCCCATACCATGGTGAGTATTCAGCAGTTTTTGATCAAAAACAGCATGACCCCTGTGCCGCACCCTCCCTACTCACCTGATCTCACCCCAAGTGACAGTGTTGTTTCCTGGATGAAAAAGTCCTCAAAGGGAAACATTTTGCTGATGTGGAAGAGGTGAGTGAAAAACAGCAGAAGCACTGAAAGGCATCAAAATCGACAAGTTCAAAATTGTTTTGAGCAGTGGGAAAAAAAGTCTCGATAGGTGTATTGCATCAAATGGAGAGTACATTGAAGGTGGTTGAAGTTTGAACATGTAAGAATAAAAAAGCAATTTTTTATAAATAAATTCCAGTTTTTGGGGTCCCCCCCCATATGAGTTCTTGCTGTTTCCTAGAGTTTGGCCTACAAATTTCTCACCAGCTTATCAGCTCTTTTATGTTTTTTAAGAACATATATTAGCCAACTTTTTAAATATAATTTTTAAATATAGTTTATTTAAATAGTCTGAATTATCTAATTTCAGTACTTGTTCTTATAGTCTTTTTTGTTACATAAAGATATTGTTCTACAACCTTTCCCTTACTATACTGGCTGGCCCTGGGTAAAACATTAATATTCTTATAGGTCCTACGGACCTATACTTGGTTCCACTTTTTTAAAGTTAATGTGATTAACTCAGATATAGTATTTTTTTTCTTTCCTAAGGAAGCCCTTTAAGCATATGCAGCTCTGAAAGCCCTTTCTCTGTACTGCTCTGCTTGCCCCACTCTGAGGCTTTTTGGAGATGACAGATACACCTGTCTGAGACAAATGCTTTACAGCTAGATTAGGAACTTTCACAGGTTTTACATCCCCTGCAATTTAATTGGCTTAGGATAGTGGTTCCCAATGCCTGAACCTAGAACCTCTAGAGATGAGAGGGGGCTTAGATTTATTTTGGAGAGTCTATGAAATCATAGACCTGACAACTATGGTCTATAGACTGAATAAATAAAATCACAGCTATTGTCATGTGGGAGTATATCTAATTTTTCTTATATGAAAATCGTGTCCAGAAAATGCCGATGCTATAGTTTCAGGATGAAATTCCTAGGTGATTAGGTTGACGCAGAGTTTATCTCCAGAATGTTACAGATTCTTTGCTCTTTAATATCCAACATGCTTTTTTGTGTGTGGTGTTGCTACATGTAGAAGTCCTTTCATCATTTTATACTGCCATTTATCAAAATTATAAACCATCTCTCCCTGAGAAATTTTTCTGGTAGACAGAGGTATGGCCAATGTAGAGAGGTACCCTAATTAGGCCAAGAGTTCTTATTGTATTTTGTTCTTTTTTTCCCTTGGTGGTGGTTAGAATTCAGACACTACTCACCTCGCCAGTCCACAGTTCGATCCCCGGAGAAGATGGCTAGAGAAGGGTATCGAATATCTTTTGTGGACCATAAGTCTTCAGGTTCTTCTCCAGAAAAGGACACGATACCAAAACCTGATACTTACCAGCTTACCCATGATGCCTTATTGGGTAAACGCCTAGATGTGGGTGATTCTAGCCAGATTCATCCCTATCAGTTACCTTCAGGTGTTGGTCTGGAAAATTATGATAGCCATTATTCTCAAACTCTAACCCTGCATGGAAGTCTTGGTAAAAGGCCTCAGAGAAGCAAGAACTACCGGGAATATAGCATAAAGCCTTCAAACGACATGAAAGCTACAGCATCCCATTCCTGTGGAGATTTACTGGCCTCTCTGTCAAACCCTGACTCCAGCACTGGAAGACTTTTGAAACTTAGCTCAGGTAATAGCTTCCTGTCAGTTTATAGGCTTTATCATAGGTATTAAAATGGAAGGTACAACTGGAAATTTTGGAATTAACATTTCTTAAATTGCACTAGCATTACTTAATTTATATTTCAGAGTTGCCAATGGTCCATGGGACCTCCAGAAATCTTCAGGGTATGATTTTAACATAATAGATATATTAGAGAAATGTGAGATATATTATAGAAATATATTGAAGACATATGAGCTACATATATGTTATTTTAGTTAAATAGCAACCCAGGACATATGTGTAGTAACATCTACTCTAACCACAGTCACTTCTATTCTGAGTTATTTTTCAGAAAAAACTAGTTTCAGAGTAAGTGATGGAAACACCCTCTTTAGTTATTTATAAATATAATTTATTGAATACCTACTATATGCCAGATAATTTTCTAGCGCTGCAGATAAAGTAGCAAATAAAAATGAAGTTCCATGCATATTTTACCATAATAAAGAAAGTTTTAACTTTCATGGAACTTCCATTCTAAAGAAGGTAAGACAGATGATAAACAAGTTAGCATATAAATGTGTCAGGTTATGATAAGTGCTGTGAAGAAAAATAATTTAAGGGTATAGAGTGTAATAAGGGGGTGGTAAGGTTTTGGACAGAATGGTCAGGCAAAGTTTCTCTGATGAGATATAAAAATAGAGACTTGAATGAAGTAAGAGTATAAGCCATCTGGATAACTGGGGAAGGAATTTCTAGACAGTGGAAATGGTAAGTGCAAAGTTTCTGAGGCTGAAACATGCTTAGCGAGTTCAAGGAACAATAAGAAGGCCAGTAATGGCTGCACCAGAGTGAGTGAGAAGTGTACAGAGGAAGCTGGTAGTGAGACTTTTATTCTGAGTGAGATAAGAAGACATTGGATGATTTATAGTAGCAGAGTGACATGATCTAACTTAAGAATTACTGTAGGTTCTGGGTTGAGAATAGAAAATGGGGCACAATGGTGGAAATGTAGAAAACCATTTAAGAAGATATCTCTAGTAGTAGAAGTGGTAAGTATTGATTCTGAATATGTTCTGAAGATAACATTCCATGATTTTCTGGACTGAAGATGAAGTATGAGAGAAAGAAGGTCAAGATGACTCCAGGTTTGAGTCTGAATAACTGGAAGAATGGATCTATCATTTACTAAGATGGGAAACAGTGGGACAAACAGCTTTTAGGAGAGATAACAAGAATTTTGCCTTAGACATCTGAAATTTGAGGTGACTATTAAAACTTCTCAGAGATGACAATTTTGATAATTAGACATATTAGGCTTGGGTTCAAGGAATTAAAAGTATGGATGGCATTAAAATTAGACTAGATAAGATTTTACCTAAGGAGTAACATAAAAAAGAGATATGAGATCAATCCTGAGCCCTTCAACAATTAGAAATCCAGTAGATGAAGAGAAACCAGCATGGAGAGAAAGAAAGAAGCAGCCAGTAAGGTAGGAGAAGAAAAGCCAAGAGGGAGTGGTGTCCTGAAAGCCAAATGAAGAATATGTTTCAAGGAAGAGGGAGTGATCCATATTGCATCAGTTGTCTTTAATAGAGAGGGAGTGAGCCTCTTGGGAGAGGGACCGAGAAGTGACTATGGTATTTGGCAACGCATTAGTGAGAAGCTTCAGGAGACTCGCAGTTAATAAAAGCCTCACTGAGGTGAATTCAAGAAAGATTTGAAAGAGAGGCAATGTTACTGAATACATACAACCCCTTCAAGGAGTTTTTCAGTGAAAGGGAACAGAGAAATGGAACTGTAACTAGAGGGGGGATTGGATCAAGGAAATCATGATGGAGATGATCCAGTAGAGGGAAAATTGATGGTGCAGGAGAGAAAAGGGAAAATTGTGAGAAAAATCCTTAGACATGTGGAGGTGGAATCCAGTTCACCAGTGGAGAGTTTGGCCTTAGATGAAACACAGACAGTTCATGTATTATGACAGGAAGAAAGAGAATTTATGCATACAAATACATGAATACATAAATGTAGTGATAGAATCACATAGATGTTTCCTCTGATTGCCTCTGTTTTTCTCAGGGAAATAAAGAGATCAGCACCTGAGAGTGAAGGGAGGAATTGGTGTTAGAAGTTTGAGAAGAAGAGAGATGTGAAATAGTCATCTCAAAAAGATGAGTAAATTGACTAGAGGAATGTATTAGGATAGGTGGGCAGTACAAGAGCCCAGTTAAGATAGTGGTCATAAATTTAAAATGAAGATGGTGAGAAAAGATGCATGTTGTTTTCCAGCCACTTCCCACTGCTCTGATGTAGGCCTGGAGTATGTGGACAGTTGAATTTAACCAGAGTTTGGGTTTTGTCAGGTTGAAGAAGAAAGGATCCAGAGACCTGAGGGTACGTGTTAAGGGAGAGTATGACCCGTGGACTCCAGGTGGGGTAAGGGTGGAAGTGAAATAAGGGAGACTTGAAGGGCATGTTCACCTCCTAGCCTATTTCCTTCACAGATCTCTATGCCACAACCCATTTCAACAGTGATCCTGCTCTGCTGGTCAATGTGGATCAACAATTATCCAGCAGCCTTGGGGATTTAACACCAGCACATGGTTCTTTCCCAAACAACTCCATCCTGGGAAACTCTCTACACACACTGCTGTTGCCTACTGGGACTTCAGAAAACAGAGAGAGTTTGACCAAGAGGTCATTAAGCCCGTCGAGGAGAGGATTCAAACGGAAAGACAATATCCTTGCCACACTGAATCCAAAGCATGGTTTTAGAGATGCTGCCTGCAACGAGGCAAGTGTTGGCTTGTTTGTGCTTGTGAATGAAATACCTCAGATGCAAGACCAGAACAGGGTTCTTTTGGGGACTGCGGTGGTTCTGACAGAGTGCTAGAAATTCCAAGGGCTTTTCAGAGGCCAGTGGTTAATACTGCCAGGCCAAAGCTGGTAATTCTTCTGCCCTTGGGAAAGTCATTCCCCTTCTGCAACACTTCTTCATTTTTGTCACAGGGAGAATCTACTTCCAGAGCATAAACATTGTGAGGAAGTACTTTGACAATAACAAGTGGAGGACAGTGTTTACCACAGGAAGGAATGCAAAAGTTGCCAGGGGTTCAGGCTTGGCTGGAGAGCGAGCTCTGCAGCACGGGTGTTTATCATGCTTACACATTGGCTTTAGCCACAAGTAACTAACTTGCTTGAGACCTTTCTTCTAAAAGCATCAATTTTCCGTCTAGAAATTCAAATAATTCCAATTTTTTTCCAAAGTAGCAACAAGGAGAAGATGAATTAGATTATCCAGAATATTTTTAGCTGAGAGTGGTTCAGAGAATGAACAACAAATCAAGAACCATTTCCATATATACAATATAAATCACTTTATAAAATTATAATGTGGTAGTGTTGTACAATGTGACTTCATTATTTTTCAGTTTTTATTCAGTAGCTAAGTTTTGTCACTGCTTTTGCATACATCATCTGTAAGGAATGCATTGTACTCTCCTCTCATCTGTTTGAGTATTAATTTTTCTCCAGGTTCCACTTCCATAACGAAGCCTTTTTCTCTTTATTTAAAGGAACCTCAGCTCTCAGGGCCCTTTCCTTCCTGAAACCCATGATCCTTTGTCATATGAATCATTTATAACAAATGATATTCATTTAATAATTTATTCTCCTATCAGGAAGCAGGGGATTTGGTCAAAAACAGCTATTTCTAGTCACTTATTTCTCAGTTTTGAGAAATCTTTTTGCACACTAGCATGAGTTTACAAGTTTCATTTTTTTTTTTTTTGACTCTTTAAATACTTTCTATTCAGTTTTTAAAACTTCAGTGGTGGCTATAATTTTTGTACACCAAAGTGGACAGTCTTGTAATACTTTCTTGGCATTTTGGTCCTTTTCCCACCGCCACCCGGCCCCCACCCCCTCACCCCCGACCTGGCATTTTCAGCCACTGGATACCTATTTTTCCAGACAAGAGCACTGTGTGTTATATATTTAGAGTACAGGTACAGGAACAGTTAGGATATTAGGGATGCTATATTAATAAGATGTTCTAGGAAATTTTTTCACCTCTATTTCATATACATTGTTAAAATAGGAATTAAAATCTCAATGAACTCTTTTGGACAATCTTAAAAACTCATTTTTTTTTTTGGTTAGATACTATTTTTCTTTATTTGAAAAGCTGTAAAAGAGCTACTTGGATGTAAATATAAAAGAAATAAACCGCTCAGTTTCTAAAAAGATATAAATCAGAAAATTGCTAAAAAGAACATTTTAAAAGTTATTTAAAAATAATCCCATGATACATAAAATTAAGTTGAACATGAATTTGTGATTAGAAATTTATTTTTGACCAACTCATTTCAGAATCATAGGCAAATTATTAATTTATTTTTAAAAGCCATGAGCCATAATTTGCTAAAAATTAAAAAACAATTAAAATTATTCCAAAGTTTATAAACATTATTCCTAACTCTCACCACATTGTGATAAATGAAAGAAAACCTGTAAAGGCATATATGTTTCCAACTTGTTCCTTGACACAGACACACAATTACCAATACATGACAAACCAAGAACAATAAATGCTCATTTTTGACAAGTTCTTCTAAAGTGGCCTTGTGATATAACCAAACTTTATATGACTTTTCTCCTCAATGAGGTCATTAACTTCTTAAAGGACCTCACTTTTTACCTCTCCATTTGTTCATAGTCCTTACACAGAACTTTCAGTGCACATGATCAGTGCTTAGTACAGACCTGTTGAATAAATGTTTATCCCATTTGTAATGCCTTTCCCTATTAATCATAAGCCACATATGACTTAAGTCACACAAATATCACTTTCTTTGGTATTTTGCTTCACAATTGTTAGATATAACAGCATTAGCTAATTAATCACCTATAGCTTTTTATATCAAAAGAGCCAAAGATTAAAAAATAATTTGGCTGTTTTTAATATATACCAGCTTTCTTGAAGTCCATGAGACCCTACAGAAAAGATTGGCAGATATATCTATCCAGTAAAATTCACAATTTTTAAACTCATTCAGATATATGTCTATATATCTATTTACTCATGTCTGAATGAATTAAAAAAATTGAGAATTTTATTGGACAGATCTACCTCTACATATATTTGTGTGTGTGTGTGTGTGTGTGTGTGTGTGTGTGTGTGTGTGTATGATTCTTACCAAATAAAATATATCTTTAATACTGGGTCCAACAATAACATTTAACATTTAAAATGTTATAGGGCATTTATATTTAGTATATGTTGATATACATTTATATTTAGTATATGTTGATATACTAAATATAAGCTTATCATGACTTATAATTTTAATTAATTACTCTCCCTTTTATTTTATGATATATAATAACTTTTAAAAATGTTCTGCAGTTCGATCTTATTACACAGTATAATATACTGAGTCAAAACTGTAAGTGTCAAAACATTTTTTGTTTTCTTCTGAAAATCTCTACAGAAAATTATGATAGAAGATACTGTTACTTTTAAAAATATCCTTGACCATATTATTATATTTGCCTTGGACATAAATAATATTCTGTTCAAATAGAAACTGAAAGATAACATCATCTTATTTTTTGCTTTTTCTTAAATGTTAACACTGTAGGGCCCTGGCCGGGTAGGTCAGTTGATTAAAGCATCGTCCTGATATGCCAAGGTTGCTGGTTTGACTCCCAGTCAGGGCACATACAGGAATGAACCAATGAATGCATACATAAGTAGAACAATAAATTTCTCTCCCTCTCTCCCCCTCTTCTCTGTCTCTCCCTTCCTCCCCTTCCTAAGTCTCTCTAACATCAATAAATAACTTTTTTTTAAAAAGTTAACACTTTAAATGTCTGGATATTTATTTCTCTTATTGTGTAAGAATAACGAATGGTTGGGGTTTTTTTTTCTTGAGCCTCTCTCTAGTGACCTGGGCAGTTTGCATGGTTTGCCAGGAAACCACAGTCCCCAGATCTCTGCCAGAACCTCCCATGTGGCCACTGTCCTCAGACAGCTCCTAGAGCTTGTAGATAAGCACTGGACCGGCTCTGGCTCCCTCCTCCTCAATAAGAAGTTTCTCGGTAAGTGCTTTCTCATTTCTGGGAGAAGGGCTCCAAGCTTGCTTCTACTCTACAAGGGTAGCTGTTTTCTTGATCACCTATCAACATTTCTCAATAATGTGGCAATTGAAAAATTTGCATTTTTCTTGTAATCTTCTTACCTTTTGTTTTATTTATCAGCACTCTTCTGTCATGTACCAATTATTTTGTTCCTCCTATAATTTGGGGGGATTTTTTTGGTAGTCTTCAGGTAACATGTAAAGTGATGAGAGATGTGCAATACAGCATCATCATATTCATGGTTACAAAAGGACTTTATGATCCTTGGGAAAGTACCAGTAATAAATACAGTAGAAACTGGGTTTGATCATCAGAGTTCTGAGATGCCTGTTGAAATGTTATTATTTTAAAAACTCAAATGACTAAATGACCTGGACTCTTTTTAGAGTTTTTTTTTTTTAAGGAACTTGGGAGAAAAACCAGTTTTGCAAATGTTGCCCCCATAATATTTATTTGTTATTTAATCTGAGAAGAATTCAAGGAGCTTTTAGTGGTGGAAAACATTTAAGTGAAAACTAGAAACTTTAGATATTTTGGCTTAACTTTTTTTTTTTTAATTTCTAAAGGGACATACAGGAGAAGAAGTCTTAGCCCAATTACTTTCTTTCCCACAGTGACCCTTTGCTCTCATTTTGTAGGGAATTATCCTTAGGAACCATTCCTCCGTGACTAGAAAATAGTGCAGAGCCTGCATTCAGGAGGGTCTGCTGTTGTTTCTCCACAGAGGATATGGGACATCATTTCTTATCCATTGTGAAACACCTTTTACAGCCACTTACTAAATTCTTGTAAAAGGAAATATTAGATTACCTTATTCGTCCTACAGAGCTGGTAGTTATTGGATAGGAATTCTGTGTGTTAGCTTCTATGATTGGCCTGTGTGCCCAACCTGAATTTTTGGCAGGTCCTGCCCGAGATTTGCTTCTGACTTTGGTAGTCCCTGCTCCTTCTCAGCAGTGGTGTCCCTCACATCCTGAAGATGCATCAAAAGCCTTCCGCAGGAGGGAAATGGAACTGAAGGAGGCTGGGCAGGCGGTCCCTAATGACATGGTATGGCTCTTTCATCTCCCTTTCCTACTTTTCCTTTACTAGAAAAGGATGGAGCAGCAAGACTAGAATAGCCCTGTAGTATAGAGAGCTTGAACACCATGAATATCTAGATGTTTCTGAACCAAAATACAGAAAAGTCATTCTGGGCAAATCAGGAACATAGAACTTGCCAGGACAGGGACAACGCAGAGGTTCTGAAGGGATAATTCCTTAATCCTAGCCCTCATCCAAAAATTCTAAAGAAAGGCTTGAAATGGAAGGGGGGAAAAAAAGACCCTAGAGTGAAAATGTTTGAGGCCTTGAAGGTCGTGGTTTGATTCTGATGAGAGAGGGTAAATATCTCTGGAATTGTCTTTCCTCCCCTTCTGATGGAGCAGAGTGCCCTGAACCAGGGACCAGTGCTAAAGCATCAGGCTGCTGGCTCTGGGAGAGGAAGAAGGGGCTCATATCCTTAAGCCTTTTCCCCCTTTTTCTTAACATTAAAGAATTTTCAGACATTCAAGTTCAGTTTCTTCAATGTTTAGATAGGTGACTCAGAATTCTGGCCACTTGTCAAAATGACCACTTGTTCTGCCAAAACAGTGGATAACTCACAGGAAAAATTGCAACTCCATGTGATAAATTTGTTTGCTGCACTTGCCCTATGTGTACCAATGAATTAAAATTCTAGTGAGAAGAGATGCTGACCTTGATTCAGTTTCTCACTAAACAGAGGAAAGATTCTTCCAGCCTTCTATTTTTTTTTTTTTAAGATTTTATTTTTAGACAAAGGGAAGGGAGGGAGAAAGAGAGGGAGAGAAACATCGATTCACTGCCTCCCACATGGCCCCAGCTGGGGACCTGGCCCACAACCCAGGCATGTACCCTGACCAGGAATTGAACCAGTGACCTTTCAGTTCACAGGCTGGTGGTCAATCCACTAGCCACACCAGCCAGGGCTCTTTCAGTCTTCTAAAAGCATTTCCTTAGAATTTCAGATTCTTAATGTGTTTTTTTTTGTTGTTGTTGACTGATCCTAAGGAAAGTTTGAAGCAAAAACTGGTCAGAGTACTGGAGGAAAACCTCATTTTATCAGAAAAAATCCAGCAGTTGGAGGAAGGTGCTGCCACTTCTATTCTGAGTGGGCACCAGCCCCACACTTATGGTAAGTTCAGGAAAGCAGAGTGCAGTGTGTCCCAAGACAACTGTGTTTATAGAAGGCTCATTTAATAAGCTTCATTATGTAAAGCCACATGGTTCCCTAAATAGACACCACCATCTTACCTCAAAGAGTTCTAATGCAGGTGGCTTGAGTCACCAGATGAAGCTTTTTGTCATTGTAAGGCAAGTACAAATGTTGTTGTTATTATTGAGAACGACACTTGTTTTTTCCTGATTATAGCAGAAAATGTTCTTTATAGAAAGTTTGAAAAATATATGGAAAATAAAACTCCACTATCCAGCAATAACTACCATTAGTGTTTTTGGTATATTTTCTTTCACCATACTCCTATACATTTACTTTTAACTCAAAATTTAAACTTGTGTCTTGATTTTTAAAAAATAATTTATGTACAACAAAATGCACACATTTTAAGTTTGAAGAGTTTGGACAAATATATACTCTCATTTAATTACATCCTAATCAAAATACAGAACATTTTTGTTACTCCAGAAAGTTCCCTCAGACTCTTGTGCAGTTCCCCCACTCTCTACCCTAGACAATCATCAATTGGATTCTATATCCTAATGTTAGTAATTTAATAGTATAGACATTTCCTATAATGTTACACAAATATGTCTTATTTATGTAGTCCTCTATATAGTTGTTTTAATGTTAGCTATTATAAATAAAGCTGGCATTGTTAATAATATAAATAATTTTGAAGAATTTCCAAACATTCAAAAGACCTGAAATGAAGGAAAAGACTCGAGAGTGAAAATGCTTCTCTGAGATTGCCCTTCTTCCCTTCTGGTGGGACTGAGAATCCTCATATTTATACTACAATAAATAATGCAGCCATTAATATCTATGTACATAAATCTTTGTGTACATTTCAGACTATATTCCTAGGAGACATTCCTACTAGTGGAATTAGTGGGTCAAAAGATGTGGATGTTTTTAAAGCTTTTGCTATACTTTGCCAAATCACTCCCCAAAAAGTTTTTCATTCTATACTCACATCAGCAATGAGTGTATTCAAATGCCCATTTCACTCTTCTCTTGCCCACACTGGGTATTTTTAAAAAAATTTTTGCCATATTTATAAATGAAAAATAATACCTCCCTGAAGTTTTGACTTGTACTATATTATTCGTGCAGTTTAAGCTAGTACTTTAGATAGAACCTACCCTTGACTTTAACTCTGTATCTCAGCACCCGTAAACAAAGATTATGGGCATTTCAGTTTACATAAGGAACTTGATTTGGAAGTCAGCACTGAATTTCCGGAGTTCAATCTCATCACTATCTGATTTCACAAGTCTGAATAATCAACACATCTCCACTTACCTACTCTGAAAACAGGTCATTGTTTGTTCACTTAGATACCTACTTTCTATCAGCCATGAAGCCCAGTACTGGATTTTAGCTTACTGGTGATAAATACAGCTGTTGCAGCCCTGTTTTCTGCCTTCTAGAATCTTGGTACTCAAAGTGTGGTTCACTGATCAGCAACATTAGCATCACTGGGGAGCTTGTTCGACATGTAGACTATTGGGCCTCACCTCAGACCTACTGAACCAGGGTGTTTTTTAACAAGGTCCCTAGGTGATCTGTAAGCATACTAAAGTTTAAGAATACAGTTCTAGGAGACTTTCTTAGGACCAGCGTTCCTGTGCTTTTACTTACCTCATTATTGCAGGCAGCAGTAATATATTTGGGGAACTACATATGTGTCTTGATTGCAAAATCAGTTTCCGCAAGCAATCATTGAGTTATTACTATGTGCCTGACACATTTCTAGATATTTTCACATACTCTATAGAGAATGACGGACATACATTCATAAACCAAAACAGGGAATACAGAGAGACCTAATATTTGTTGACTTGCTGTGCTAAATGAGGACAGGTGTCTCACTGACTCCTCATAACAGTACTATGGGGCAGGGTTATTAGCTCTAGTGAACCTCAGAAAAATGAACTAACATGCAATATTAAGTGATGATTGCATTTTAATTCAGATCCGTTTGTTGCCACCATATCTGTGGTCTCTAAGGGAAGGGACGAATGGAGTATGGAGGGGAGCAGTGAGGGGACACCCAGTTCTTTAAGGTGTCCTTAAACTCTGGTCAAAGACAAGCTGCTTGGAATCCTGCTCACCCCTGGCTACTATATCCTTTGTAGATGATCTTCTGCGTAAAAACCAACAGCTGAACATGCAGGTGGCTTGCCTGAACCAGGAGCTTGCCCAGCTGAAAAAACTGGAGGAGACAGTGGCCCTCCTTCATGAAAGTCAGAGGTAGGATTGGGTCTATCTAGCTGATTCTGGAAGCAGATGCTTTCTTTCCTTTATGTTCTTTGTGTTACTGGCAAGTTAAAATCGATATACTTTTCAAATTTACTCCATTTTATGTGTAAACCACTTAGATCTAGGCCAGCTAGCTTCAGGGCTCAAAATACTGTTTTCTAGGAGACACCAGGGACTAAATGTCCTTGCTAGAATTGGTGAATTACACCCCCTCAATAATAAGTAGTTTCTCTCTAGATCCAACAGGACCCTTATTTGAGTCAGCTAGCTTTTCTTGACCACTATGTGCCCCTAAAATGAGTCATCTGGTTCTTCAGGAAAATACTTGCCTGCCATTGGTCACAGAAAATATGCTGAGTACTCAGAGAGAATCCAATGTGTGTGTTCTTCAGAGGAACTCAAATAACATCAGCCTCTTCAAAGAACAGTACCCTCAGGATGCAGGCAAGACAAATCAGAAGAGGCCTCAAGACCATTGGTACACTAGAGACGCCCTGGACATTTTGATTTGGCAAACACCTTTACTAGGACTTTCAACGAAATTTAAATATAAGACCCCATCCCCAAATCTTTAGCCTCAAACTTTACTTCCTTATTTTCTTGGAATAACTTCATATTCAGAGGATTAGACCCAGACCTGTTCTGGGTGGCTTTTTAATTTTTTTAAACTTTTCATTATAATTATTTCAAACATATAGAGAAGTTGAGCAAGTAGCATAAAGTTATGATTTTCAAACTCAGGTGTGCATCAGAATCACCTGAAAAACTTGTTGAAATGCAGATTGCTGGGCCCCGCCCCCAGAGTTTCTGATTCAGCAGGTCTGGGTTGGGAACTGAGCATTTGCATTTCTAATCAGTTTTCAGGTGATGCTGTTATTGCTGGTCTGGGACCACACTTTGAGAACATTAGGATACACCTCTTTAGTGATGTACAGTCAAATTGCTATATTTTAAAGTAATTTGAAATATTTTTTCTCTGTGTTGTTAAACCATCAATTCAGTATACAGGTTCAATTTGTTTCTATTTGCTTCTGATTCATAGGGAATTATTTTATTATTTTGATTTAATCTTGTTCTATAATTATGTAAAATATTTACATGGTTCCAAAGTCAAGCCTACAAAATTAGATAAATGCAGACAAATCTAGCTTCCTTACCTGTCTCCTCTAGCCTTTCCTTCCCTCCCACTAGCCTTCCACTGTAGGCATGGGTGTCCATTTGTAGAGGGAGACTCTATTATATAAAAAGGGGCATAATGATACTTTAACATTTTACCTTAGCAATCAGTTCACAGTGGTGTATAGAGTTAGCTCTCACTTCTTTTTATAGTTATAGGACTACATTGTGTGATTATTTCATTATTCCTCTATTGATGGACATTTAGGTTGACAGTATTTTGCTGTTACCACTAATAATGCAATAAATAGCATTGTGTATGCATCATTTTTTTTGTTTTTGGCCAGTCTCTGGCGGCTCTTAACATTACGTGGTAACACAGAGTCCAAGAGTACAGCCAGACTAGCACCACTAGTTAATTGCAGAGGCAGAACAGATTAGAAGAAGCAGAAGTTAAGATTTGGATATAGGAATTGGAGGCCTGGTCAGGTGCCGATCCCCTAGTGCTTCTACTTACCTCATCATGAAAGTGCTTTGGAAAGAAGAGAATAATCACTGTATAAAATGTGAACTATGTTTCTCCTACAGTCAATCTGGAACATAAAGGGGACTGTAATGAAGAAACTGTCAGCCTGCTTTTAAAATAACCCACTCGTAAAGTGGACAGTTTTTTCTATTTAAAGATTTTACTTCATTTTATATTTGTTTTTAGCAAACATTTCAGGCCTGAATGACATCTACTTTGCTTTCATGATTTCATGACTGCCTTTTCTCCCATGCTTCAGGTCCCTGGTGGTAACTAATGAGTATCTCCTGCAGCAGCTGAATAAAGAGCAAAAAAGTTATTCTGGGAAAGCACTCCTGCCTCCTGAGAAGAGCCATCATTTGGAGAGATCATCACCCTTTGGGAAAAGCACGCTGTCTTCCTCCTCACCAGTGGCACATGACACGGGTCAGTATCTAATACAGAGTGTCTCAGACTCTGCCCCAGAGCCTAGTTTATGGAGCTAGCACTGAACACCTTCTCTGCAGCTTTCCTCTCAGCCACGGGAAGCTCTCAGTGTCATTGCCACCAGTATTTACCCACAATATTAAGAAAAAAATCTATTCTGATTACATTGTATTGGTCCTTCTCTTTATTTCTCTTCTTATCTCCTCCCATCAAGTCATTCTTTTCCTCTGCCCACAGAAATAGTTGGCACTTAGTCCTAGCATCATATCGCATAGAAACATTTGGCAGAAAATGTTGAAAAGGGAAAAATACTGGACATTTTTCCCAAATGTCACTTGAAACTGTGGTAGGATGTTTAAAAAGAACACCCTTGACAAGGTGTGTTCTGTGTTAGAAGAAATTTCAGAGAATCCATGTTGATTGGTTGATCAAACATATTTTGAGTTTCTTCCACCATAGTGGACGGGTGAAAAGATCTGGTGTCTGCCATGGAGATTCAGTCAGAGGAATGCAGAAATTCATGGGATAGAGCACTAAGCTTGTTATTGGTACAAAACAGATCTAAACAAATCCTAAAGATGTCCTGAAAAGAGAGACAAAGAAAGAGAGATATTCCTACTCTGGGGAATTGGGGAAGGCGTCAATGAGGACTTGTTTGAGTGGCAGCTTGCTGAATGAGTAGCATGGGAACAGGTAGAGGATATGCAGAGCCTTCTCCTGCAAACAGTGGAAGAATCTGGAGCCCGCAGAGGGATCTAGGACAAGGAAGATGTGGGTCATGGTGCCATAAGATTATATAACCGGGGGACCAATCCTAGCCTGGGAGGTGTGGTGTAAGAAAAATGTTCCCTGAAGTAATGATCTTTTAACTGAGACCTGAAGAATGACTAGGTTACCAGGCAAAGTACAGGGTCTAAATCAGAAGCAATGGGGAGAAATGCAGGGAGATACAGCATATGTAAAAACCGTGAAATGGGAAAGAACATGGTCCGTGGAACTGAGGAGCTGAGAGGAGATAGGCAGGAGAGAGATTGCATGGCTCCTCAGGGATTTTAGACTGAGGAGGCAGAGGAGTGGCAGGTTTGTGTTTGAGAAGCTTTCCCTGTACGAAGAAGGGAGTGACAGTTGTGTGGAGTGGGGAAGGACCGGCGAGGAGCTATAGAGAGAAAAGGCTGGTACAGTCCAGACCAAAGGTGCAGCTCTGGGTGTTAGCTTTGAGCTCAGGCAAGGCACAATCTTTTTTTTTTAATCCTGACTGATGGGGCATTTTAAAAATCAATTGAAAAGATCATGAAATTGGTATGTATCTGCTTCAGGGTCGCCCAAGTAGCTAATGTTGCCAGAGGGTGTGTAAGAGGGTGAAGGACTGCGACCCAACACTATGTTGTCCTTCTCTTCTTCTCCAGAGCCAAGTCAGAGAGAAGCAGGGGGAAAGATTAGATGCTTATTTGCTCCCCTGACCCAGGTGCTCTGCAGGGTAAGAAAGTTATTGCCATAATAATGAGATATGGAGATTACAGCCAAGATTATAGATTTCTAAATTATAAGTTAAATCCACAGACTTCCAGATTTTATGTCGGTTCCCAAAGGAGCATGTACAGAAGAGCCACACATTTCTTTGAGCTGCATGGCTCTGAGGAAGCTAGAGTGAGCTTGTGCTCTATGGAAACATCAGTAAGAACTGCACCCACCACTACCAGCACCACTATCCTGGGCCTGTCCGCTAGGGAACGTAAGTCACCTTGAAGCCCTGAATTATCACATTTCAGGGTCCCAGCCCAGTACACAGGGCAGCCTACTGAACAGTCTGTTGGGGGGAAAAATAGCACTCTTCTTTCTCCAACCCCAGCCCTCCCTTCCTTCGCCCATGAACACCTGATAATGCCAGTCCCAGAACCTATTCAGGGTAACGCTAAGGAGGAACAAAAAGCCTGACCCAGACTGAGTAACTTTCCACCCTATTTTCTAATGTCATTGGAAGTGGCTGGCCCTGCCCTAGGCAAGGTACCTCTCTAGGATTGATGGCCATTCCTGGGGAAGTCGACTACGTTTCTAATTTTCCTTGTGTGGCCCTTATTCCAAAGGGCAAGTATAGGGATTAAAGGTGTCAAAGAATGGTTGGGGCTCTGTGAGCTCAGCATGGAAGGGGGAAATCTGAAGCAACATGAAAACAACTGGAGAATTCCTTGCTGAAGGACTGGCATTAATGGGAGAAAGAAGGAAACAGGGCTGAGTCCTCTGGGAAGTTCTGTGCCCCAAAAAAAGGGACAGAGACACTCTGACAGATTTGGCCTTCCCACCAGCTATGTGTAGGAGGTTTTAATGGCTCCATCTCACAGATCCTAACTACTCTTCCTCGCCCATCTGGCTTTGCTGGCAGAGGTACCCAAAGCTTTCCACCATGAGGAGGCTATGGAGCGTGAGAACTACAGGGCCGAAGTGCAGTTAGGTCAGTCTCTGTCTTTGTACCGGATTCTGCTAGTAGGCCCATCGGTCTTTAAGGTTCTTCCTGGCTCTAGGCCAGTCTTGATTTCCCTTGGGCTCCATGACCAGTTTTCGAGAGGGGACTTTACTCCTACAGGGTAGAGTTTCAGGGCTCAGCCAGTTCTCCTTCTGGTCTCCTCTAAGCCACACTGACAGTGACAGGAGGGGCAGGGCTGCTGCTCCCTACTCATGGGATGATATTCTCACCTGTAGATTAATCACTTAATAGCCTGGACCAATTTGCAATCCAGTTAAATTCTTCTCACTGTGAGGATACTTAGCGAGTGAAAGCCGGAAGGATCAGGTTTCACTCTCATTATGCTCACTTAAGCAAGCTTACAATTGGAACAAGTTCCTCAAGGCTAGAGGAATCATTTTTGCTGGTGGGAAAGGTACAGCTCTCTGAAACTCTTCCCTGGGCAGTGCAGGGCGAGGTGGTCAGCCCAGTCAGGAGGATCCCACAGCTGTCTGTCAGGGCTCTGCTGTGGCCAGGTGTTAATCCTGCGCCCTCCAGTTCCCACCACACCTCCCCAGCGTCCCAGTCCTGAACCACACTATTCCTCTGCACTCCCATTCCCAAGAGAACTTGGGTTCAAGGAAGGGACTCTGGGGCCACCCGGGGCAGGAACATCCCGAAACAGTCTGTGGGATGAAGGAATAAGCTGTTGTGCTACTCTGTCATGTTAACAGGGTTGGGAAAGTATCTGTGACTGTGTGCCTTTGAGTCTTTTCTAGCACCTTTGGGAGCTGCCCTCCACTGGGAAGTCATTCAGTTCCATCCAGCCTGTTTGTCAGAAGGAAAGGAGGACAGCTGGCCCCAAAACCTTGGGCTTGTTACATCTCTGGCTTACCACCCAGAGCCTCAGAGAGGAGAAGAGCTTAATCCAGAAACTCCCAGGAGTCCTCAGGACCAGAGTGGCTCCCACCGCCCTCCCAGCCTGGGATGTTGAACCAGGTGGGAGGGAGTCAGCAAGGAAGAAGCCCCTTCACTGTGGGATTCCCTGCTCACCTGCCCAAGGCTGATGTTGGGTCCCAGGCTCTATCACTGGCCATCCAGTCTCATTTTTGGAAATCACAGTGGGGCTTGCCATGTCAGACAGAGCCTGGCCTGGGAGTCAAGTAGCATGGTTCTGGTCCCTATTCTGCAGAGGCCCCTTCACTCTCTGGGCCTGTTTCCTCAGCTGTAAAACTAGGGAGCTGGACTATCTATCCCCTAAAGTTCTTTCTGCATTTTCTGACATTCTAAGCTGGAGCCCGAAATGACTTGCCTTGGTAGCCCCCTGGAGTGGGGGCCTGTGAAAGGCTGACGCCGAGGCCTGGCACTGGGCCCCCTGCCAACGCTTGGCCCAGGCCAAATCTGCTGTCTCATCCCTCCTGCTGCTGTAAAAGCAGAGAGGCTGAGGCTGAGGCCCTAAGTGCAAGAAGGCAAGCTGTCGTGCCAGGACTCCGGGTCAGGGCTGAGGTAGAAGGCTTTGATTTCCCTCAGGAGCATCCTCAGGCAGTCTGGCTCCGTGCTGAAGGAAGGGACTTGTGTGTCTTTTTCTGGGCAGGGCTGCCAGTGGAAGTCAGCAATGTGACAGGCAGACAGGTGATGACACCGAGGGGTCAGAGGGGTGTGAATGTCATTATCCTCACTGCCATATACTTGACCAGGCCATACTGATATAAAAGGTGTCTTTATTGAGGTCTGGGTAAGAATTAGGCACTTGGCCAGAGCAGCAGCTTAAATATGAGGCAAGCAATCAGGGGTTTTAGCCATACCCAGGGCTAGGTTGGGGCGGTGAGGCTATAGGCACAGACTGTCCCAAAAGGGACAGAAGTCATGGAGGAAAGGGAAAGGGGACACAGAGCAGCCTGGGTCAGAGACCTGGTGGGCTGGCCCCATAGGACTTGGGCAGGAAGCTCTGGATGGCAGGTCCAGCAGGGAGGGGACCGGGCTCTCTTGTTCCACGAGCCCCTTAGACCAGGCCTGAGCCTCTGGCTGGGGCCGCCGTGCTGGGGGGCTCTTCCCAGGCCTCACTTCTTCACCTTGGCATCATAGGTGCCCGCATTCTTGTAGGCACTCACATAGCCACTGTCATCAAGGATGTCCTGCCGCCCGGCAATGCCCTTGCCCTTGCCGCTCTCGTCGAAGCGTTCCTTGTGGGAGCCTGTGTACTTGCTGGTGTCGGTCAGCCGTTCCACAGCACCCCCTGTTTTTGCTTTCTGTTTGGACAGAGTTCCCCCAGGAGTACCTCGTTAGGGAGCCCAGCCCTTCCCACCCCCAACTGAGATTCCCCACATACCCCTCAGTATCTCCCTGAGACTAGCAGGGCACTTACAGTGACGCCCACATTGGCTGGTTCCTTGCCTGCTACCAACTGGCAGATGGCATCGAAGGCCTCCTCCTTACTCTTCCCCTTGAATCGCTTGGGTGCCAGTTCTTCCAGGGCCTTCTTGAACTCCTCATAGTTGATGACCCGAGCAGACTTCCCCCTGCCAGGTATGTGGGCACGGTCAGTTTTCCCCCTTCCTGATGTCCTCCCTGCTTCCAGCCCATCAACTCCCCACCTTCTGGGAACATCAGAAGCAGAGACTGCTGGGGGCTCACTTGACTTTGGAGAAGACGATGTCGACATCAGTCCCTGTCACAGCCTTTCCATCAGCCACCTTGCAGTCCTTGCACAGCTTTGCCCAGTTCTTGCCATTCATCTCTTGTCCACTGGCCTTGGGGTCACCATGGATGGCAAACTTGCGGAAGCTCTCCTCCAGCCCAGCCACATCTGTGCTCGCTGCCATGCCACCCTATAGGGACCCAACTCAAGTCACCTCCCAGCCAAGCTTCTCCCCCTCTCCCCAAGGCACAGAACATCACTTCTACAGCCTCAAAACTTGCAAGGTCTGAGTTGGGGGCACTTAGGCTACATACCCTCAAGAGCTGGAGCGGGAGCTGCCTGCAGAGAGGGGCCAGCACTCAATGTCTCCCTGGGCCCCCGAGCCCTGAGAAAGGGCCCCAAGAGGAAAGGTCCTGTTGCTTAATGCCAGCCCTGGCTTGGAGTGGAGTTCAGAAGATGAAATCATGATGCCCACACCAGGCTGGGAACAGAGGGGCACTGTCCAGAAAGACTGAGAGGGCAGCGGCTGGGATCATGGCTTTGTCTGGCCCTGGCACAAGGCCTGCTTGGGTAGAAGCGAGAGTGGCAGAGCAGGCCTCCCTCCCTGGGAGTTCCATGCCAAGCTGGGCCAGGGCCAGGCTAGGCTGCTAGTTGGGCAGGTATTTAGTCAGGACAATGTGTTTGTCAGGGTCATGAGGACCCAGCAAGTCCCAGCCCTGGCTGAGAAGGGAGCCAGAGCACAGGCAGGGGTGCATGCCCTAGGCAGGGGTGCAGCTGGCCCAGCCGGGACCTTGTTACTATTTGCTGTTAAACAAAAACATGAGGGGAGCGGGAGCCTAGGGCTGGCCTGGCCACAGTTTGTGAAGCCTAGAGACGGTTGCTAAGGGAGGGTGGTGCTACTTGGAGAATGTTGCTAAGGGCACGATGGTGTCAGAGTGGCTCAGGGAGAAGCTCCCATTGCTGCTGGGCTGGGTTGGGCTGAGGAACTGGGACCCAAGGGTGGGGCATACTAGCACTCCCAGCACCTGGGGCACAGCCGTGGCTTCCTGGTCCCTTGCCACCCATTGGGGCTGTAACCTCCCAGCCTGTGGAACTGAGGAGCATGAGATTGGGGGGCTAGCCTAGGGTAGATTGTAGAGTTATAAGTCCCCAGAAGCATGTTGGCGAGTGGGACTGTGGCCATGGCCCTGTGATCCTCACACCAACACCCTGCACCAAAGCGCACTTCCCCAACCCCTTCAGCCCTCCACTGAGGCCCCTTGGCCATACCCTGAGCACCGCCACACCAGTCCACGCTCCCATAGCCATATGCACTCAGCCCTGGCCCTCCACACCCTCAGCCTTATTCCCCCATCACACCCTTCACATGATACTTAGACCTCCCTCAGCACACCCACAGCCCTGCCCTGAAGTGGCCCCTCAGACCCTTCTGCAGTCCCCTGATCCCACCAGCAGCCCTGAGATTGAGGGCTTGGACTATTCCTTCAGCATCCATCCTTGACATATATACTAATAGTCCTGTACTGAAGACCTCCCCAGCAATGCACTCAGTCCTGAACTGAAGGGTCCCCCCATCCACACCCCCACAGTCCCCTGCAGTCCTCTGACCACACCCACAGTGCTGCACTGAGTAACGTAACAGCCCAGAACTGATGCCTCCCTGACCACACCCTCGGCCCTGCACTGCGGCCACCTCCATCCACACATCCACAGCTCTTCCTGAGACCCCTCACCAGAGCCTTACAGCTCACGCCCTCTCCACAGACCCTCAGCCCTGACCACACCCATATACCCCCACCCTTGTCCATACATCCACAATCTTCCGGCTGCACTCTCAGCCTGGCAGCGACACCCACCCACCCCCTGCCCCCGCGTGTCTACACCCACAGGCATGCACTTCCAGACTCCTAGGTACTATCTTGGAACACACCCTGCACTGAGACCCCCCTGAGCACACTCACCTCCTCCACTACAGCTTCCTGGCCACAGGCATGTCTTCAGATACAGTCTTATACTTCTGCCTTTTATATTAGAGCCTCCAGTGACCGTGGCCTGGGCCTCTGCCCAACTACCCCCTCCTCTGCTGCCACTGGCCAGTGACCACACTCACCTATCTCTAAGTTACTGTTTCTGAAACTGGGAGTACCCACAGCTGTTACATTGCAGCGACTCGATCCACAATCCCAGTCTATACTGCACTATACTTCCCTCTCCCTACACAGCAAATCTCCAACCAGGGACTCCCAGAGACCAAGTGCTTCGTTCATGGCAGGTAAAGTCTAGGGGAGCTTTCATGTCACAGGATGCTTGTCCTGGAGACTGGCAGGATCCTGCATCCAGTGCTCACTCCTTTCTGTGGGAAGATGGATTCTTGGTAATTTCAGGGCTGATCAGATAGAGCCAGGTCACAGGCTGTAGTCCCAGGGGCCTGCAGGCCACGGATGGAGCAGCCACGCCCAGGGCCACCAGCTTACTCCTGCTGGGACAGCTGGAGTCATCAATCAGCCCTGCAAGGAGGTGGGGGTGGGAATGGAACGCTAGGGCCCAGGGCAGGGCCGCTCAGCTGGCGTCCTACGCTCGGTACCCTCCAGGGCTGGGACCCCTTCCAGGCCGCTCCCACCCGCTACCCCCACCCCCACCCCCACCCCCACCCCCACCCTCCTCTTCCTTATGGTGCAGGATACTGTTTAGGGTGGTTACGCCGGGGTTCTCCTACCGACTTCTACCTCGTGGCTGCTCCTGCAGCGCGCGTTCGATGGACAGAAGGACACAAGAATGAACCCACGGACGCGGGAGACCGGGCGGCTCCGTAGCTCTGCTCCCTGCCGGCTCCGGGGCGGGACTGCAGCTCGGGCGGCTCTGCTGTATTATCCCCTGTTTCTCGGTCTCCATAGAGACAGCGAGTCCCACCCCCGGGGCTGTCTCAGCGGGAGAGTGACCAAGGTCATGCTGGCTCCACCCACCGGACCCCGCCCCATCGACGCTCGGAGATTCGCTTGGGCGGAGCTGCCAAGATTGCCTTCTTCTTCCCCTCCCTGGGCAGCTCTGCGGCCTTCGCCACACGATTAGCCCTCTGGAGTTCGGGACGTCCTCGGATGGCTTCCTAATGGGAAAGCAGCCCCCCATTTTGGACGCCACCCAAAGTTCAAAGCAGGCCTCTGCCTCCAGGAGAGATCTAGCTTCCCAGTCCTAACCGCGGGGGGTAAGGGGTGGGAGACCAGGAGGGAGAGGAGCAGGGCAGAGGATCAGGAAGGTCTCTTCCCTCAGGGCCAGTGGGAAATGGAGAAATGGAGTCTATAGCTGGCTCAAGACCACGGCTCACCCATTAACGTGTGGCATCTCCAGGTCACAACTCAGGGGCATTGAGGAGAGGGGACGGCGGGCGAATAAAGAGTGCCCAGCCCCAGCATCCTGGTACACCTATCCTGGCCCATCCGCTGCCAGGATAAAGCTCCTGGACCTCCCAGGTCTCTTCTCGGGCTGCTGCCTCTAGCATGCAAAGCCTGCTAGAAGCCTCATGTCTCCAAGAGAAAACTCTTATCTTCAGGAAAAAGAGCCTTCTCCGAGCAGCCTTCTAGGATTTTTCCTAACCAAGAGCCCTGTGCCTGAGCATCTCGGGTCCTCGTTTACCTCCGTAGGACACCCTGGGTGGCCATATGCCTACTATAAGGGAGCGGGCCCACCCCATCCTCTGCCCCTAAGCTGACGGGCAATGGTCCAACTCCAGGAGGGCCCGTGGCCCTTGCTATAAAAAAAGTTTGCAGTTAAGTCCGCAAAAGCATAAAAAAGGTTTATTGGAGCATCATGGTCAGTGGGGCGGGTATTGCTGAGTCGTGGGGGAAGGGGGCCGATCCCGCCGGCAGTAGGGGCTCCTAAAGTGCACTCGGTCTGCGAGGGTGGGGGTGTTGCATAGAGAGTTGGGTCGGCCGGGCCGGCCGCTCCTCCTCGGCGCTCCTGCCTCTCGGCGCCGCTAAGCCAGGCCGGCCTCCGGGCTGCCCCGCGCCCCGGGCTCGCCGCTGCTCGGGCTCACGAAAACAGCAGGCACACGCGCCTGCAGCGCCAGCCCCGGCTCCCCGCCCCTGCTTCCAGGAACGGCCAGGGCGGCGCTGCCCAGGCGCGTCTGAGCCACGGGAATCTCGTCCATGGACTCGGCTGACGCCGAGTGGTAGGTGCCTGCAGGGCCAGCGGCGTGTACCGGGCTAGCGCCCGCAGAATCCGACGAAGAGCTGGAGCGGTGGCCGGGGGCTCGGGGCCCTGCGAGGTGGAGGGAAACGTGAGACTAGGGACTGCGACTCTCTCGGGCCCCTACCTTTCTCCCTCGGAGCTCCCGGTGCAGGATCCGGTCAGGAAGGGCCCTCACCCGGCTTCCTCTTTTTCTGCAGAAACAGCAGGGAGCCTGAGTGCCCCTTCCCCAGGTCCCTCATCGCCAAAGGAGGCAGAGGAGTGAGGCATGGTGGAGGCTTCTTTCCCATCCCCTTCCACCACGGGGGCAGGAGGCCCAGCACAGAACCCTGTACCTGGGGTCGGATCCCAGGGGGCAGAGCGAGAATCTCTGTCTCTGGGGAAGAGGGTGGTGGAGGCTCCACTTGGCCGCTGGTGGCAAGGAATGGAGAGGGGCTGAGGGGGAAGTAGGAAGGTAAGCTCTGAATGTGAATGATCTGGCAAATCCCACCACCCAAGATGGAGGTCCTCAGATGAGCCTCCCTTCCTAGCAGACAATAAAGAGGCATTGGTCTGTCCAAGGCCAGGCTGGGCTGGACCCAGACACTTGCCTTGGCATTGGCCCATTCCCCTTCTCCCACCTCAGATGGCCCTGCCATGCCCATGGGAGATGCCCAGCTGGCACATGCCCAGATCACACTCACTTGGCATTCACTGCCATAGGCCTGGCCTGGCCAGGGGGCTCTGGACGCACATGGCTGAAGGTCCGCATGTAGAAGTCCATCCCCTGGGGAAGGTGGGGATGAGGAAGGCTGGGCGGCCAGGTGTGGACTCAGGGCCTTATAGGTCCTGAGACCACCCAGTCCTGGACATAACACCCCCCAGCCAGGCCTCTGTGAGAGGTCTGGGTGCAGAGGTCCGCCGTTCTCCTCCAGGCTTCCTAGCTATTCTGGAAAAGCCCCTCTGCAGGATAAGGCTTAAAACACCCATTTCTGGACCCTACTCCACCCCCATGGACCTCCTCATCCCATCTAGTCAAACTCTGCTTCCTCCAGGAAGCCCCCAAGTCTCATGGTCCAATGCATCATCAAGAGCTGCTCTAGACAAGGGTGGTGATGGGGAAGAGGTGCTCAGATCTGCCCTCTTGTGCTCCTAGCCCCTCCCAGGACTCCAGTCTCTGAACCAATTTTTTTCCTCAGCTGAGACACAGTGCAGCTCGCAGTTCACAGCCCAGGTGTGCACCCAAGGTTGTGTGCATGGCTTCACGGCTCCAGCCGAGCTGAATCTGCAGAGTACCAACCAGTCTCGGCTGCTGGGGAGTGCTCCGTCATCCCCACCCCTAACCAGAAAGGGAAGGCGGTGGGTGTGGAAAAAACAGCACCACAACCCCACCCGGGACTAGGCTTATGGGTGAATTCTGTGTCTTGTTTAGAAGCTGATCCTAACAGTGACCCTGTTTGTTGCAGAGCTTGAAAGTGGAGGGGCCTGAGGTCGGGACGTCAAAGAAGTGGCCTAGGCTTGCACCCCAGCACGCAGGACGTGCTCCAGCTGCGCACCCAGGACTGCAGGTGAGGAAACAAAAGCCAGGAAAAAGTCAGCGCGGGAAGGCCTAGTGCCAAGGATGTGGGGCGGGGTCAGGGCCATGAGGCGCCCCGCCCCAGGGGGCGGGGGTGGGGGTAAGGGAAGGCACCCGGACAGCTGTCGCCTGCCCCGCAGCTGTTTCCATGGAGACCCAGGCGTCCTGACTAATGCAGAGACGACAATGTAACAGCACACGCGGTCTCTAAAACAAGCTTCTGTTTGGGGACAACCGCTCCAGAGTGGGGCCCCTCCCGCATTCCTGCCCAGGGTGGGGGTGGGGAGGTTGCCTGGGGCACTGGCAGATCTAGGGGACGGAGCCTAGCCGGCCACAGGCTGGGTGCACAAATGCAGAGATTGAAGTCTCAGCAAGCCACATGTGCAACCTCTGCCTGGGCTGGCCCTTGGGGTAGGAGTGTAGGGGTGCCAGTCTGGGAGAGAGGAAGTGGTCTAAGGCCAGTCCCAAGGACTGGGACCTCAGGGTAATCCTCCCTTCACATCTTTCCTCTTCCCCACTGTGAACCTAGCACCCTTCCGAGGCCCAGCAGAGAGGGGCAAAGCCCACCCTGATGTCCCTGGACTCCAGAAGGGTTGGGCAGAAGAAGCTGATAGCCATAGAGGATGGTCCCAGAAGCCTGAGGGGCCAGGATAGGACAGGAGCTAGGCTTTAGCCAACTGGGGAAGTCTGAGGGAGTCCCGACTCAAAACCTCCCCCCTCACCACAACTGTCCCGAGGATCCTCCCTCAGAGATCTTCAACACGTGCGCATTCATGGGCGGTACTGTGGCTCCTCAGCTTCTGCTCCCTCTTCTGCATACCCGTCCTCCCACTGGGAAGGCCTCCCTCAGGTCTTTTGCAGACGATGTTAAATGTCCTTGCTGCTGGCACATCTGGCCCCAAAGCCTAGGCAGGCAGTGACTACTGGGCAGGGGCCCAGAGCTCTGAAGCCTGGACATCCCAGGGCCAGCCCTGCCTCAGTGGGCAGCACTGTGCGGCTTGAGCCTCAGACGCCTCTGTGAAGTGGAGACGGGGGTGATACCCGCTCCCCAGGACGGCCGCCACTGTGCTTACACAGGGTTAGTGCCCAGCATCAGGGCAGGCACACAGTGGTGTGGCAGGGGGTCTCCACGAATAGCCAGCACTCCCCCAGAGCTGGCAGCCTGACCCATCCCTGGCAACGAGAACAGGAGAGGCAGGGTCCCAAGCCCTCTCCCAACCCACCCATCAGCCTGTGTTTGTGTCTAGTTGCCATGAGGACCTGGGATCTCGGGCTCAGCCTTCCCAGCAAAGGCCTGCCTGGGCCCCCTGCCTTCCCAATCCCTGGGGGCTCTGAGGACCGGACCTCCCCTCCCCTCAGCTGCTGACCTCAGGAAGCCATGGGGCGTGGGAATAGGGATAGGATGGTCAGCAGCTGGGCTGGCCAGGCCCTAGGCTGGGTTGGAGGGTTCCTGCTTGAGTGTTGAGACCTAACTATTCCCAGAACTAACTAGACTAGACCCAGCTTCTGTTTAAACTTCCTTGGCCTCAGTGTGCTCATCTGCAGCATGGGTGTGGCAACATTGCCTGCCTCATGGGCGGATTTAAGGACTAAATAGTGTACAGGGGCTCAGGGGGGAGATAACTGGTGACCCAGTCACTGGTCCCTCCCTCTCTTCCCCTGCAACCCCAACCTGCTGCCTTCTGGGCCCCCATGTTCCAGGCCCTCCAGCACATGCTGGACCCTAGACTGCTGCATGCGTGGGGTTGGGAAAATGCAGGGCTCCTTTGTGCTGTGCCCGCGCTTGAGCAAGCAGGCATGTCCTCAGCGCAGGCCTGGCTTCGCCCCTGCTGCCCAGCACCCCTACCCCAGCTGCTGTTCCAGACCTGCTTCCCTTTGCCCTTTCTCATCATTGGCTGCTATCTGCACAGCCCACCACCCCGTTCCCATTTCCCACCCCCTCAGCCCTCTGGGCCACTTCTATACCTGAATGGGCCGCATCTTGGGGGGACATGACTCGAGCTGCCTGTGGGCCCCCCTTGCCTCCTCTGGTGGACGATGCTGCACGATGTACTCATAGGTGGTGAGCTTGTGCCACACTGAGGGGGTGAGGAGAGGGCTCAGTGCAGTGGAAAGGGGACCCTGGAGTTCAGAAGGTGAGGGAGGGTACCAAGTCCCAGGCTGAAACCATTGTCCCCGTACACACTAAGCCATGGAGTGATACCAGGCCACCACAGAGAGCCAGCAGTGGGAAGGGGCATGGCTTCAGGGCTCTACAGACCGACTGGTACCTCCCTGCAGCCTAGGAACCCCTATCCCCTGCAAGGCAGGGGTGCGGGTCTGGGGGGCACTTACTGAGATAAATGTGGAAGCAGAGCAGGTGGCCGAGCAGGGCTGTGGAGAGCAGGCCCAGGAGGATGAGCAGGGCAGCCAGGGCCAGGATAGCAGGAGCCTGGGTCTCCACAGGGGCGGCAGGCAGGAACACGAACCACACATCCGTGTGATTCTTCAGGACTGTGAAGCACAGACAGGCTGTGCTTAGCTGGGGCGGTGACCAGTGACCGGAACAGGCCCAGGCCTGAGGGGTGGAAGCAGGCCTGGAGCCCAGACTGACCTTCAAAGTGGTGGTTGGTACGTAGCCTCATGGGATTGACAAAGAACTCCACGAAGACATAAGTGGCCACCAGCACGAGGAGTAGGACACCCAGTAAAGCAGATGCCACACTGTGTAGAAAGAGCCTGGGCCCAGCCGTGGGCAGCTGTTAGCACCCAGGTGCTCCAGCTGGGTAAGAGCCCAGAGCTCAGAAGGACCCATGGTTGGGACAGGGAGCGAGGGCACTGATCCCACAGCCCCAACTCCTCACCCAGCTTAGGGCAAAGGCAAAGGTGGGCATCCACCCCTGCAGGTCCCCACTTTTCCCTGGCCCAGCAGAGGGAAGACCCCAAACCTACCCTCAGCACTCACAGGAGGCAGCCATCAGAGGCACACATAGATAGACACCAGCACCCAGCTCCTCCAAATACCCCCGCCCCCGCCCCCGCCCTACTGCTGTCTCCATAGCCGCACATCCCCAAGCACCCGTTCGGCCCCTGTCCGCTCTCACCGGTAGTTCCTTTCGCCCACACAGTTGTTGAGCCACTTGCAGTGGTGGTCAAAGCCGCACACGCACTTGTTGCAGGCACTGCAGTGCTTGGAGCGAGCGCTCCTGCGGGAGGGGAGGAGGAGGAGTGCGGTCGCCCGCTCGTCCTCCCCTTCGCCACCGCTGCAGGGGCTGGCTGAAGCTGCGAGTCCGGGGATGGGTCGGAGCGCCAGACCTGGAGCGGGTTACCCACCGGCGCCTCCCCGAACCCTCAGAGCCCAGTGCCGGGGGGCGTGCGCGCCCTCTGCCGGCCCTGAGGAGCGGGGCACCCGAAGGAGGCAGCGTTTCTGAAGAGCTGAGGACCCAGAAGCAGAATGGGTAGGGGGTATTACATTCTCCCACTTAGGATCTGCGCACCAGGTGATGGTGGTGTGAAATGGAAATGGGACTTCCTTTCCAAGCAAGGACCCCTGAGCCGAGCCAGGAGACGATGCAGGTGTGGAGCCAGGATGCAGGCGCAGGGCCTACATGGCTCTCCCCGACGTCTCCATTTTTTGAGCACCTGTTTCCCGGCAAGTCTATGGGAATTATACCAGCATTCCTTCAGAAAACCTCATCTTGTCTGGGCTCATCCGAAGGGAGCCAAAGGAAGAGGAGCAAGGTGACACCTGGGTGAACTCAGGTCAGTACGCCAGAGATGAGGAGACATCACTTTAGGAATAGGAGTCTCCCAGCCCCAGTGAGGGACTGGGGAAGCCCAACGAAATGCGGAAGAGGGGGGAGCCCTCCCCCAGGGCTGGAAGAAGCCCTGGAATGGGCAGCAACTGCCAGAGCACCCACTGAAGAACACCACACTGGTGCCTAGAGAAGGAAAGGATGGTCTGATGTCGAAGTCCTGAGCACCTTACTTAATGCCATGGACTGTCTGGGTCCTGTGGACAGAACCCCTTCCAGCAGGCTGCCTGAGTCTCTAGAATGGAGGTGTGGAGTTGTGCTTGGACCACACCTCCATGCCCTATCCTCTACTTGAGGCTGAGAGGCTGGAAGCTCTAGGAGGGCGGGGAGCCCTCTAGGGAGGCAGTCTGGACCAGCCAAGGGGATATGGGCTCCGCACATTCTGACTCGTCTCCCCACTAGCAGTGAGGCCTGGAGTGGGGTCACTTGGCCTCTGGGGGCCTCACAGTCCTCATGGGTAAACGAGAATAACCGTATCAGCTCAGGCACGAGGCAGGCTGGTGGTGAATCTGGCTCTGTTGCCCAACAGCCAGATGACCCCAGACAGGCCTTTCAGCCTTTCCGAGCTTTGGGCTCTTCTTCCTCTGTGGTAAAAGACACTGCCCACCCAGCAGGGTGGTTGTTAATGAGCGCTCAGCACACAGCAAGTGCTCAAGTGTTAAACCCCCTCCCTGTCCCTATCTGGGAATGCTTGAGACAGGGGTGGGAGGTGGTGACTGGCAATGTTAGTCATTAGAAATGTTTGTGGGTTTGTGGTCATGCCAAACGTTTCCCACTTTTACTATTGGAAATGCTATCCCTCATCTTCTGTTTCCAATTACCTTCTCCTTAACTTCTCCTTCACTTAATTCTCTGTCACTCCATCAAGACTCTTGACTGTATAAAACATGAGTTATTAGGAGGGCTGTAAAACCCTGGGCATGCCCCTCTCTGCCTTGAGCTCCCACTGACAATTGCCCAGGCACACTCATCGCCCACATACACCCTCAGTGCGCATGCACTCACACATCCACGTCGCACAAATTGCAGTGCAGGTCTTCAATAACATGTGCATGTTGGCTGCGGTTGAAGATGGGCAAGGGCCCTGCATAGCTCTTGTCCCGCACGTTGGCATCTGCTGGATCGATGGACACAGCAGTCAGGTGCACCACGAGGTGGCCGGCAAAGATGACGCCCATACACTGGCCCAGCAGGTTAAAGGCTCACTCCACACGCTGCCAGCTGTGAGCCCCACCCCGGCTTCCTGTGGCCAGAGAACTGTTCTCTGCCTCCATGTGACCCACTCACTAAGGGACTCTTAGCCTGTGCCACCCCCTACCTCCAGGACCCAAGAAGACTTCCTTGTCAGGCCTCTCCAGCGTACCCAGTCCCAGGTGGAAGAGGACAACAGCCATCTGGTAACAGAGCTCACAAGCCAGCTGCTCTACTGCCCCCTGCTGCCGAGAGGCCCAAACTCAGGGCCGTGGCCTCACGGTCCCAGGCTTGGCACTGGCCTTGGCTGGTCTGACCTCCAATTCTGACTGAGATTCTATATGATGAAGTGAGACTGAAAGAGACCATCCTCTAAGTTCAAGGGACCCAAAATATAAGTTCTAAGCTTGTTTGTCTTGCTTTCACAGGAAGTCTACTCCGAGAGGGAAAAAGCCATCCTTTCTCAGTAGCTGGGCCAGATGGAGAATCACTCACGGACGGGGCCTTATACAACCACTGCCTCCCTGACCTGGAGGCCAGGCACGTGGAACCCTGGGGCTGAGCATCTAGGATGTCCTGACACATTCAGGGCCTGACCAGGGACAGTACACCTAACACCTGGAGCTGAAACACAGCTCTTCCAGAACCTACCTGCTCGATGATTGGTCAAATGCTGGAAATGAATATGCTGACAACTTGCAGCAAAGTCTAAATGTTTAAAAATTCACCAACAGATTCCACCCAGGCAGACATGCGTCCTCCATTCATTCACCCTCTTGCTAGCCAGGCAAACATCATCCTTCCATCATTCATCTTCCATCCATCAGCTGTCCAACCTTTCTCCCTTCCTCCCCCTCCTCCTCCTCCAAATTTCCCTACACGTCTGCATGAGCCAGGCTCCACCCTAATGCGCTGTACCTGGTTGAAGGAGACAAACCTGTAACCCATCAAAACCCCTCTGTGGCCCTGGCTGTGGGTCAGGCTTCTACCTTTTTGCCTGGGTTATTCCACAGTCTCCCGACGCTGCTCCTCCTCTCTTGATCCCTTTGAACCTGCCCTTCACTTGGTCCGAGAGTGAGCTTTGAAGAGCTTAAAGTTAAAGCCTTGCCTGCTTGAACTCCTACACTGGCTTTCAAGGGCCCTCAAGCTAGAATTTATTCTTCAGCTCAGTGCCAAGGCCCCTTACACTCTGGCTCCTCTCCAAGCCCTCTGGTACCAGCAACCACTACTCCTCACCATTCCAGACTCTCTTCGGACACACTGAATATGGGCAAACATTTCCTTTCCTGCCTGTGTCAACACTTCCCCTGCCCCCACAACCCAGCTCATTCACTCAACTGTTCACAGAGGTCCTCCTCTACGCCAGGAACTGAGGGCTCTGGCAGGAGCAAGATAAGACATGACCCCTGGCCCCAGGGAGCCTACAGTCTGCTGGGAAACACAAATGTTGGTCAAATAATGGGTCGATCACAACGAAGAAAGCTCATGGGACTATGTGAGTTTGTGTGACCTCAACTAGCCTGAAGGGATCCAGAAAGCTTCCCTGAGAAATTATGCCTCAGCTGAGACTTGAAGAGGAATGGGTAACAAGGACCTAGCAGGTAATGAAAGGCGGAAAGGGGACCTGGCTCGTGATTAGGAGCAAGCAGAGCCCCAACCAGAGGCGTGACTCCAGCTCAGTCCCTGGCTGCCACGCAAGAGTGAGGCCCCGCCCCCAAACGGAATGTGGGCCTCTGTCACCAAATTCTGGCTTTTCAAAAGGAACCAAAAATCTGGATTTTTATGTGAGGTCTCTATTTTTTAAATGTTGACAAGGAACTAATTTTTCTTTTTTTTTTTTTTCAAATACATTTGTCTCTGCCTACCCCCCCAGGAACTAATTTTTTAAAACCCATCTGCCAAAAGGATGTTTAAGATCTGTCCTTTTGTGTGTTAATTATCCCTCAATTAACATTAAAAAATCTGCCCTGGCTGGTACGTCTCAGTGGATTGTGTCGGCCTGTGAACCAAAGGGTCTCTGGTTCGATTCCCAGTCAGGGCACCTGCCTGGGTCGCAGGCCAGGTCCCCCAGTGGTGGGGGAGTCAGAGGCAATCACACTTTGATGTTCCTCTCTCTCTATCTCCCTCCCTTCCGCTGTCTGTAAAAATAAATAAATAAAATCTTCTTTTTTTTTTTAATTTTTAAAAATCTGCAGGCCAAACTGGTTCACGGGCTGTCAGTTCTTGACTTCTGACTCAGCTGAGTGTTGGGTGGGGAGAGAGGCCAGGGGCTTCCGGGCAGAGGCCGGTGTCACAACGGGGAACAACAACAGAGGAAATAATATAAGAGGCTGGAGAGACAAGCAGAGGCCAGAACACAGCCTTGAGCATCTTGACTCTCACTCCTTAAGGTAGAAAAAGAGCCATTAGTGGGTATTTAGCTGGGGGACAACTTTATCATATTTGCTTTTTGAAAGGGCACTGTGGCTGCGGAGACACAGATGGCCTGGCCAGAGTGAGAGTGTGTGCGGGGAGACAGGTTTGGTGAGGACGTGGTCCTCTTGACAAGAGAGGCAGGTGGCAGTGGGGAAAAGAGGGCGATTTGATGGCTGTTTAGGAGGCAAAAATCAACAGGACTTGATGACTGACTGGATACAGGTGATGAAGAAAAGGGGTGGAGTCAAGAGCAACTGGACAGGCCGGTGAGGCATCGGTGAGGAGGGGCGCTGTGAGCAGCAGGTGTGCGTCTGGGCCAGCGGCGATGCTGGTCTAGCGGCCCCCCTCCCGCACCCCCAGTATCCTCCGTGAGGTCCTACCACACGCTCACCACAGGACCATCTCCAGTCTACAAGGCCTTCCCCCAGCTGGAGGCTCGGCGCCGCAGGGCTGGCGCCCTGCCTTGCTAATCTTTGCAACCCTAGGTCCCAGGCCAGATCCAGGCCCAAGGTGGGTACTTGGCCCTCATTATCGCCCTGCCTCACCTGAGGGAGCCTGCAGAAGGAAGGTGGCTTTGACAGAAGGAAGGAGAACCACCCAGGCCTAGAAACTGGGTACCAGACCTGGTGGTTCTGTGAGCCTCCATATTGCCCAAAGCAATGAGTGTGGAGAGGGCAAAACCCTCAAACCACCCCCACTGCCTGAGCAGCTCTGCTGGCCTCACCAGGTACCAGCTGTGTGACCTCGGAGAGTCACTGAACCTCTCTGAGAACCAGTTTCTTAGTAAAATGGGAGGAATACCTTCAAATTATTGAGGATCAAATAAGGTAATCCAGGTACAGGGGTTGGCACAGGGCTTGGCATATATAAGTGCTCAATAAGTGAAAGTTACTCTAGTTGCCTGTTATTCATTCTGACAGCACTCACTTCAAACCACATGGCATAAACCCAGCTAATCCTGAGTCAGGGGTGTGCCCATTCCACGTCATGAGAAGAAAATCCCATGAAGCATTCTAGTTAGTAGCCCTAAGGCCTATTGGTCACCTCAGGGAAAGTCCAGTTTCCCACTTACAGAGCTGACTAGCCCCAGGGCCTAGTGAACCAGGAAGTCCCCCAGCGATACTGCTGGCATCTGAGGATGGCAACCTTCTCTAGAGTCCTTCTCCACACACTTGCCCTGGTCACTCACCAGCCCAGGGCTCTGTTATTTCCCAAGACGGCACACTTACAATTATGGCTTGTGCATGCTGGCGCTCAGACACACGTCCTTGTGTGCTCCTTGTCCCCACCCTGGAAAGCAGGCAGGACTCCTCCTGTCAGACAGCTGCTCAGCCTCGGGGAGCACTGAGAGGGCCGAGCTGGGACCAAGCTCCGCACTGACTCCGAGGCATTCAAATTGATCCCTGCCAACCTCATTTAGCTCGCCCTAGCCCTCCTCCCGGAGGCGCCTAAGGAACTGTCTCCCTGAAGCACACGCGCGGGGGCACCCTCTGGCCGCCTGCTGCGCTCCAGTTTCTCAGCCTTGCAGCCACGCCCTCTGTAGTCACACCACTAGGCTCACACAAGCTCCTGCTTGTCACTGTTCTCAGGAGCCTCCAGGGCATCTTTAAACCTTCTGTCAATTCAACCTTACCCTAAAAGGGCACAGTTTACAAAATCAATGAGTAGATCATAATAACCTGTCCAAAATAAAACCACACTTTAAATGTATCAGAAAACTTACTACGTAAAAGAATTCTACCACGGCCTGTTTTGAAAAGTGAAAAATTCTTTGGTAGATGAAATAATTACTCTCTAATCTATCCCTTATTGAGCTCTGGACACAATTAACTTAAAGGGAGCTTTCAAGTGGTCCCTTGGTTGACGGGGTTCCCTTCTGTTGTGGGGCTATAAATGCTCCAAGGGACTTTAGTTCTGTAGGCTCACCTCATTGGGCCACATGGAGGCTGGAGGCCAGGCAGGTAGGCAGCTGGTCCCCCTACCCCAGGGAAGAGACAGCACCTGCCTGCCTGAGCTCTCTGAGGCTCTGGAGCCCACCTTCAGGCCTCTGCCATGTCTGCTACCCACTGTCCCCACAATTCCATACACGAGCCCTACACTCTCCCAAGGATACAGCATAGCCAGCAGGCACCCAGTGGTGAGGCAGGAGGGGGACAAGGACCCCAAAGCCGATCACAGCGAAGAAGAGGTACAGCAGCCAGGCCACAATCTGGAGCGGGTGAGGGGGCCAGCTCCACCCATTCCGGCGTGACCGCTGGCCCTGCAGCTCCGGGGAGGGTCCGCTGGCCTGTGCGGGCGCTGTCCACACGCTCTTCTCAGGGGCTGTCTTGTTGGAGGGCTTGTTGCAGATGTTCATCTCCAGAGGGAGAAAGAGCAGAGAGAGCATTAGCCTGAGGAGCCCCGGGCTGGATCCCAGAGCCCATGCCTGCAGCCAGCTTTTGGCGCGGGGGCGGGTGGGGGGGGGGGGGGGGGCAAGTTGCGGGGCTGCAGGGAGAAGCAGGCTGGGAGGTAAAGTTACCTCCCAGCTACTCTTCAGGGGAACCCAGAGCCCTAGCATGATGAAGTTGGGCAGTGGGGGAGCGTGGCAGTGGGGTGTAGCCTCAAGCCCCAGAGCCAGCTGTGACCCCGGCCCTGGCCAATGCAAGGTAGGAGGGTCCAAGGTTTATTCAGGACACAGTGGCGCTGCCTGTTACTCAAAGTCTTCTGTCTCCACAGCCATCAAAGTTAAATCCAGTAAGACATGTTCTCATCTGGTAACAATATCAGGCTGGGGCCAGAGCGATGAGAACACATGCTGATTCTGTTACGATTAGTCACCTCTGTCCTGTGGCCCAAATGCAAGTGTCAGAGAGGGCCCCCTTACCATTTGCTAAGGGAAACAGGGAGCAGAGCTGTCCAGAAGGGGAATCTGGCCTCTGCTCCTAGGCAAGCATGTAATCCCTTTAGGACGGGGAGGGCTGCGGACAGTCTCCCCTGAGCCTCAGGAGGGCTGCTGAGGCTTCTCAGCTGGGGAGGAGCCAGCACACAAGAGAGAGGGGAGGGTTCCTTCTCAGTTCCCTCCAGAAGAGGAAATGATCATGTTCCTTCAAGTAAAATCTGGGCCTGATGCATTGCGAACAGAAAGGTAGGCTGGCCCTGGCCGGTGTGGCTCAGTGGATTGAGCACCGGCCTGCAAACTAAAAGGTCACTGGTTCGATTCCCTGTCAGGGCACAAGCCTGGGTTATGGGCCAGGTCCCTAGTTGGAGGTATGCAAGAGGCAACAGATTGATGTAATTGGTCTCTCTCTTTTCTCATACATGGGTGTTTCTCGCCCTCTCTTTCTCCCTCCCTTCCCCTCTCTCTGAAAATAAAGAAAAGAAAATAAAGAAAAGCGGGCTGACCTGAGGGAGCTCAGGGGAGGCCCGGCTCCAGCCAGAGCCCAAGCCCGCCACCAGATGGCAGCACTACCCCACCCAGCCACCCGTAGGCCCAAGAGCTGGCCTAGTGGCCAAGGTTACAGGCTGGATAGGCAGGGTGGGCCTGTCATTACAGGAAGAAGAACCCCACCCTAGTATCTCCCGGGCCTGAGACAGGACTAGAGCCTGGGCAGGCAGCACCATAATTGGAGAGACAGGCCCACTTGGAGTTCTTGGTGGGAAGGCCAGGAGTTGGGGACAAAACCCTGCCAGCTGGACCCTCAGGAGTCCATGCGCATGGGCCTGCCTCCCTTCCCGGACCAGCACATGCTAACTGGCCCTAAGCCTGCTGAAAGCGTCGCCTCGGCCAGGGGCACTCCAAGGGGAGTGGGGGCCCTCCTGTTCGTTCTCCCCTGGGCGAGCCACTTTGCCATTTGGAACGCTCCGCCATCCCCGTGTGTCTGCCCCATCACTCCAGCTTCCCCTAAGGGCAGTAAATATGCTGTGACTCTTCACCCCTGTTCTGGTCTCTACATCCCCTCCCCCAGGCACCCAGAACATACCTTGTACATAGAAGGTACTCAGTAAATGTTTGCTGACTTGAGAACATCTGCAATAAAAGGAAATGCGGGTGTGGTAAACGGCGTGGAACTCTGATCCACCCGCAGCCACCTGGCCACTCTGCCCAGCCACCGCGCACCCACGACTCCCCGGGGCCACACGAGCACCACGCGCCCACACCTCCTCCGCCACAGCTCCCCCGTCCCCTGGCTGTCATCCTGCCCGCTGAACATGCATCCTTCCCGAGGCCCAGAGCCTCCTGAAAGCCAAGCCTGGCATATCTGAAGCCACTTCTGAGGAGGCTCATCTCAAAGCTAAATGAAACGACCTTAGTTTTCTTCCAGGGACTCAATTGGAATCCTTTGGTCATTTGCTTTGTCTTCAAGAAGCAGCAGCAAAAGGCAAGAAAAGACCTCCAGCTTTGGAGGAAAAAGGATCTAGGTTTAAGTCCTGGCTCTGCAGCTACTGGCTGAATATCCTGCGTTTCTTCATTTGCAAAACAGGGTAAGGGTTGCCGGCCTGGGACTGCGTGTAGATCAGCGACACTGTAGGTGAAGCCTGACACATAAGTGCTCCCTGAATGGTAGAGGTCACACTTATCCTTAAAACAGCCCTTTGGGTGGGCCGTCCTCATCTCTCCAGACTGAGGCATCTGACATCTGATATTCTATGAGGTGCATGTCCAAAGTGGCGGGGTTGGCTGAAGTTGCTTCCTGACATCAGTGGTCCCAAGGAACACATTGTCATAAGAACTGGGCCACTGGATCACCATTCTACCCTCCTCGCCTTCAATCAAAGGTGACTAAAAAGTTGGTATCACTTTATTTTGGCTGTCCCCATGGTAGCAAATTTTTGTCCTTGATTTCTGGAGACAGTCAGAGGTGACCAGCGCAAGCCCTGCGAATGCAGTTCCGCGGGGCGGTTCTGCGCGGGGCAGGGGCGAAGCCCTGTGGCTTGCATGTTGCTTCTCCGGTGACATCATCACCAGGGCAACAGCTTTGAAGGGAACACACAGGTTGGGATCCCTAAGTCCTGGCTTTCTGTTTGCCATCCCCACACCTTAACAGGCCTACACCTTGAGGGACTTTCTAAAAAAAGCAGAGGTATGTGGTTGACATGTCCCTGCTCCCTGGAGGGGGCTGGCAGTGGCCGCAGGCACCCCCAGAGCCCTGATGCAGCCCGGATACCTGAGGCAGCAGGAGATACCATCTGAGGCCAGGAGCCTATGGAAAGAGCCTTCGGGGCAGCTCTGGCCCAGAGAGGCACCACTGATAAGACCGTGGGTGAGGGGACAGTGCTATTTGGTAAGTCCCTTGCCGCCGTGGCAGCACTGCAGAGTAGATCCCTGATCTGGTCAGGAGACAAACCACCTGACTCGAAGCCTGGACTGGCCAGTTCTTAACTGATGGCATTTTCCTCTGTAGAGCTGGTGACCATGCATTCTGTTGGCCCAAAAGATTTTGATCAAAAAAAACTGGGAGGCCAGAGAGAATCCAAAATGGGATCAAGCGCTGTCACCAGACTCAGGGATTTCTCTGGCTCTTCCTCTCCTCTCAGCGCTTCTCAAGGAGACCAGAGTGAAAGATCCGTGGCTCTGCTCCTGGACAATGTGACCAGCTTGTACACTCACACCCTGGCCCACTCAACACTTACTGGGGCCCAGCCCCTATGTGCACTGAGGATGTAAACACAGATGAGACCAGGCTCCTGTTCTCAAGGGCTTGTTTTTCGGGGACCCAAACACCCAAACGGACATCAGGGCAATGGGTGAAGGGGTGTTTTGGCAGCCTTGCAAGGTCCTGGAGGGGGTGCTGGGGAGCGGCAGGGGTAGGTCACAGGGGCCCAGGTGAGGAAGTGGGTGCTGCGGAAGGGGCCACAGGGAGTCACAGCAGGAGAGTGACAGAAAGGTGACAGAGGTTTGGGAAAGATTTCTTTTTTCTTTTCTTTCTTTTCTTTTTTCTTTTCTTTCTTTCTTTCTTTCTTTCTTTCTTTCTTTCTTTCTTTCTTTCTTTCTTTTTTTTTTTTGTGAAGGAGAGGGAGAGAAGGAGAGGGAGAGAAGCATCCATGCAGGAGAGATAGATTCCTTCCCGCGGGCCCCAGCCCACAACCCAGGCATGTGCCCTGACTGAGAATCAAACCAGCGACCCTTTGGTTCACAGGCTGGTGCTCAACCCACCAAGCCACATCAGTCAGGGCTGGAAAGCTTTCTAGTCACAGTGGGGAAGTGAGCATGAGCCGGAGGGGAAAGGGTTTGGGGGCAGTGACAACACAGCAGCTCAGCAGCCCTGTACTTTGGGAGGAGACGGTTGGGAGGCGGAAGTCAAGTCCACAAGCTCCCCGCTGCCCACTGAGCTCCCAGCTGCATCTCTGGTGGGCTGAGAGATACGCAGGCCTTGATAAGATTCTTCATGTACCTTCTGCTACCACAGAACAAACCACAGAGTCAAGCTGGTGGAGACAGAGGGAAAAGAGGGAAGAGGCCCCATGGAATGTCAGAGCCAAAGGCAGCTGCCACCTTGGTAAGCAAAGGACCCACCTGGCTTCTGAGGCAGGCTAGAGGGGCTATGCAGGCAGCCACCCCTTGTCCCAGCAAGGTGACGCCCATTGCCAGGATGCCAATAATCTGTTCAAGTTAGCATTCAGTTGCTGAAAGCCTAAAAGAGCATTTCCAAATAAGGTTAGACTACCTGAATTTATTTAAATAAAAGAAATCTTAACATTTCAAGTTCTCTATGAGAACGTAAAACATGCAACTGTAGAAGAGCTGCATAGCTGGTCCACTTCCCTCTTGCCACCTCCACTGCAACGAGACCATACTGAGAGATGTGCTTCTGAAATTCACGCATGGTGTTGTCCAAAGAAGCAAACTGAGAGGAAAAGTACTCGCCTGGGAGAGGGCATTGCCGGATTCCTGCAAGAAGGTTGAGGATTTCAAGGAACAATCAACTCAATTACTAAAGAGAGCTTGTGGAGAGAGGCCACAGGACTGGGAGGGAGGGTCAGGGGAGTGAAGCAGACAGAGGCTCGGAGAGCCCAGAGACCTGAGCCTCCGATGGGGAGAGGCAGGTTAGAGCAAGGGACCAGGGCTAAGCCCAGAGACAGAGCCCCGTTCTGGTTCCTGCACAGCCGCTCACAGATTGAGGAACCCGGGTAGGGGGTGCAAATTTCACAGAGGCACTTCGGGGCTTCCTCCTTCACTCGCCTTTCAAAAAAATCAACTGGAAGGCAAACTGGCAATGTCCACCAAGCTTTAGAACACATATACCCTTAGGCCCACATTCCGTTTCTAGGATACGCATACTCACAAAGTACACAAAGATACATTGCAGTCTTGTTTGTAATAATAAAGGACAAAAAAACAATATAAACAAACTAGGGCACATCCACACTATGGAATGCTATTCAGCATCAAAAACAAAGAGGGAGGGAATGACAGGTAAACAGAAAACCAAGGTGTGTGATGGCTGTACAGAGTGCTGCCGTGCGAGCAACAACAAAGGCGGGGGACAGGTGTCTGTGTTCCTATATGCACAGGTTCTCTCTGGAAGGAAATACAAGGAAGCAAACACAGGGTCAGCCTTTGGGAAGGGGAGCTACTGGCTAGGAGCGAGACAGATTTGCTTTTACTGTGCACTCCTTGGTACTGCTGAATTTTTTCTTTTAACCATGTGCATGTACTGCTTTAGGGAAAATAAAAAGCCTGTCAAATAATAGATAATTAAGCGGTGTCACCTTTTGCCCTCCGGCCCCACTAGGCTGCCAGGAGGACCAAACACGCTCATGTGGTCCAGAGCCCCGTACCACCCCGAACAAACATGGAACTCCTGTCTGACAACCGTGCAACAAGAATGCTTATTTTTAGTTCAATATTTTCTCAATCTTGAGAGCAATTCTGACTCGTCCAGCTAAAGAGCTTTAAGGAAGAGCCGCAGAGCTCCTGATGAGCTGTTGGGGGTCTTGTCCAAGCCGGAATCAGACAACCAGACAGCACAACGGAGGAGTTGCTGGGCAGGACCTTGTTCTAGTCCTTGGCCAAAGGCCAGCTCAGCTACAAACCCAAAGAGAAGGTACACACCACAGGAAGGTTTTGCTCCGAACCATCTTTCATTTTAGCTAGAGGATTTATGGTTGCTGTGTGAGAGATTTTCTGTGGATATTTCTAAATAAGTTATCTGTTTTTCTCACAGGATCTGCTTTTAATATAATTTTCACCAAGATTTAACAGATGCCTAACGTAAGCACCTAAAGGAGGGCATGGTGCACACTGTTTTACAGCGTAAAGAGTCTTTAAAAAGAACTTTGAGGAGCAAGTACTCCGTTTATTAAAACTCCCCACAGGTCCCAGAAGAAGTCTCTGGCCTTAAAATTCTAGAAAGTGCTCTAGTTTGACTCAGAGATGCACCTCACAACAACCCCCACAAAATAAACTGGAACTTCAAGCCATTCTCATCGACCTCTCCAGTCATTGGTCTCTGACGAGGCTGGGCTTCTCACTTAAACAACATGCAGAGGTCGGATGCTAGGGCAAGAGGAGCTTGAAACTCCAGCCATTCCCGAGTTGATGTGGTCTGCAGACATTTTCTATGCCATTCTCCTCCTGAAGCAATCTCTGCAAAGTGGGGACAAGAAGGACAGAGTAACATGGAGCAGAAACAAGGCCAATGAGCAGAGGAGGCAAGGGTTGTTGATTTTAACCAGGAAATCAACTCACTTGATTATAGGGAGCAAGCCTCGGAGAACACCCACCAAGAAACAATCATTAAGAACAAAGTTGTGACAGAACAAAGTAAGAAAAACAAAAGAAAAAAAAAGAACAGTTAATTAAGCACCAATGTTGCTTTTATTCCATCTTATGAAGATTATCTGTTTATAAACCCGTCTCCCACAGCGAACCACCAGTTCCACAAAAGCTGGGGCCGCCCTTCACCCATTCCCAAACCCAGCCCTCCTTCCACAAGGGAAGCGAAGCCGTTTCTTACCATCTCTGCTACCCTCCCCCTAATCCAAGCCTCCATGATTGCTCCCCTACAGGGTTTCAATGATAATCACCACCACTAGCGTTTAGGGGGCGCGTTGGTGCCAGGCACTGCCTTAAGTGCTTTGAAGGAATTCACTTAGTAAAACGCTCACAACCCTCTTGAGTTAGATCCTATCATTTCAAACTGTTCTCATAGACCTCTCCAGCCATTAGCCTCTGGGGTAGGTGAACCCTCACTTCCTCTCTTACAAACACCGTGCAGAGCAACACCCCCTTTCACGGCTGAGGACACTGAGGCTCAGAAAGGCTAAGCAAGCTCATCGAGGAGGCACAGTTAGGCTGGCAGAACTAGGATGATCCTCAGCTGACTTCCTGGTGTGCTCTGTCACCACCCCGCTGTGCACAGCAACCGGAGTGAGGTGAGCTTTTCAAAACTTGAAACTTCGTCAAAACTCTTCAATGGTTTCCTCCTCCTCCTGCTAGAACAAAGTTGAAACTCCCACCACATCCACCAGGGCTCCCTCACCATTGAACTTGCTGACTCCAGACCTTTGCATTTGCTTTTCATTCTTCCAGAAACACCCCTCCCCTGCTCAAAATGCTGGCTCCCTTTCAACCTTCAGGTCGTAACTTCAGAGTCAACTTTGACAACAGACCCTTCTCGGCCACCTTCTTCCATTTCACCTCCAGAGTCCTTATCCCCACCTGAAATCACTTCAGCTGTGTATCTGGCGCTTGTCCCCCACCCTGTCCTCCGTGTGGTCCGGAGATAGACTGCTTGGAGCCCTCTGTGGCCCCACCCCCGGCACACGGTAGGCTCTCAATGCAGGTCTGTGAACCCGGTGCATACTAGAAGGGAGCCCCGCGCTCTGGCAGATCCCCGGAGCCAAGGCCGCGGGGCCCCAGGCCCAAGCGAGCGGAGAACACAGCCGAGCGGTGGCAGCCGCAGCCTGGTGGCCCAAGCCAGGCTTCGAGGTGAGAGAACCGCGGCGGTAGCTCCTCACCTGCGCGTCGTTTAGGCCGAGCCAGATTGGCCCCGCCAAGGTCTCCCAGCGGTTCAGCCCTCGCGCCTGGCCGTCCACACGCCCCTCTTCTCCGGGCGGCCGCGCTTCAGGCCCTCCCGGCTGGGACGGCCCCCGGGAACGGGCCGCGGCGCACCCCGGAGCGGAGCCCCATCCCGGGCTGCGCAGCGGAGATTAGGACGGCGAGTCCTAGGGCTCCGGATCCAGGGGTATGATGGCTGTACAGCCGGGCCAGGCCGGGGCTGGCTGGGCCTCGTCGGGCGCTGGACCCGTTCCCCTGGCAACGGCGCGAGCTACGGCGCCCCACAGCGGCCAAACCGCGCTGCGTCATTTCGCGGCTGCACCCGGGCTAAGCCTGCCCATTCACCCAAGCCTTCTTTTCCAGCCTTCTTCTGGAAAATTCATCCTCCCATCACCCCAATCCCATAGCTTATCTTGTCGAAACTCTAACTTGTTCCAAAACTGCCCTCTTCCAGTTTCTCCCTAGACCACCATTCTCAGGGAGATTCCTGCACTTTTTAATGAGTCTGTGTAGGGCAATGGGTATATCGTGGGGACCACCCTTGAGATCCCTGCTAAGGGGAAGACAGAGCTAGACAAACAAACAAACAAACAAATAAGCAGGTACCTCATACTATACAGTGTGAAGTATAAGAGCTTAAAATATGTTGCGCAAAGTATCTCCTTTCTTTATTTCCTATAAATCAAGCATAAATCCTATTGGGTGACCCCATCTTCCAGGGTGGTAGGAAATTCAGTCTTTGTCACCCCTGAGCTTCTCTAACCCAGGTTATTCCAAGGACCAGGATCACCTATAATATTAAACAGTCTGAAAAGTACCCTGGCTGGTGTGGCTCAAAGAGTGGAGCTCCAGCCTGAGGACTGAAAGGTCGTGGGTTCAGTTCAACTCCCAGCCAGGGTATGTGCCTGGATTGCAAGCAAAAGGCAACCAAATGATGTTTCTCTCTGATATTGAGGTTTTCCTACCTCTCTTTCTCCCTTTCCCTCTGTCTAAAAAATAAATAAAGTTTTTGGGTTTTTTTTTAACAGTCTGATAAGCACCCTGTGGGGCACTGAGGCCCATAGCCTATGCCCCACCCGGGGGGCTGACGCAGGAGGTACCTGCATCCTCTATTCCAGGGCCTTTGGACTCTTCTCATTCTCTGCCTGTAGACCTGGTTTCCCTGAAAGCCATGAACTCAGGTAAAAGGAAGGAAGAGCCTTTGTTTTACACCAGTGTTGTATTCATATCTCCAAGGCTCTAAATTGGTGAGCTGCTGGCTAGTTACCTGCTCAGAACATCCCAATCTCTAAAATCTATGCTCAACAACTCCTGCTCTATTGCAGGCCAGTTGAGAGTCTTGTGCATGTAACTTTTTCTCTCTGTTACATGCCGGTTAAGAGTCTCGTTCAAGTGACTTTATCTCTCTATGATTTAAAGTCTTCTTTCCAGGCAGTCTTGTCCTGACTCGGTCAGCCTTGTCCTGTCTCTTATCCACATGAGGTTTTCTCTTCCTTTAGATTTAAACCCAGGTTCTGGTGATGGCATCCAGTCTGATGACAACCCTGAACAGATCGCACAGCCCGGGGACCAACAAGAAGAGTTTCTACTCCGGGAAGTGGCTTTTTCTCCACAAATGCCACACAGGTCTCATTTTAAGGACTTTCTGAAACCAGCAGTGCTTCAAGTGGAAGTGTGTGTGCTGGAAAAGATATTTGGTCTAAACAGAGCCCTCCTCCCAACGTTCCAACGGGAGTTCGAAGTCCTGCTCCAGATGGGAGATCCGGACCCTGAGGGCAAGATTGAAATCCGTATCTCGGGGAGCCCCTGGTACCAAATGCTTGCCAAAAAGATGATTTGTATCTCGACTGCAAAATCCATAAAGAAACACTATGGAGGTTCAGAGATGCTCGGCCCAGAAACCATGAAGTATCTCGAAAGGAAAAACATTCATTGCCATGCTTTCCCCTCTGCCATGGTGATGCACAGACTAGATGAAGCCATGTCATTACTGGACATAGGTCCCAAGACTGTCCAGGAATCTGTTCCCAAAATAATGTGACTTTTGTAATCAGGACCTCAGTGCAGGGACATTGGTCTGGGCCAGGAGCCTTGACCCTAAAGGCTCAGTCTGAATCCTGCTTTTGCACTTGTGACTGAGGAAATCAAGTGTTAGTGCTCTACCACACTTTTCCTGCACAGATACTTGTTTAAAAATGCAAATATGAGTCATCATAAATTTAAAAAAATAAATAAATAGTCTTATTTCCAGGGCTGATAAACTCAGACTTAATGTAGAATACATAACAGTGCTACTCCGGCCTCAGAAATACAAGATTGCTCCGGAGCTCCTATCTGGAATGGAGAACTTAGGGTCAAGCAGAGATGGTAACCCAGAAATCAAGGTGGAGAATGAGCCCATGTATGCCCACAGGGAGAGGAAGGCTCTGAGAGTCATAGCTATCTAGACCCTGGGTCCCCCCGCCTGCCAAGCACCTCTCCTGAATGGCCCACAGGCATCTAGAAGCAATGCATCCCTACATGACCTCTTCGCCTTCGCAAAAACCTGTTCCTCCCCTTGGGCCCTATGAAGGGGCACTACCATCTACACAGGTTCCTTAAGCCTTTGCCCATCTGACCCCAACAGTCCCCAGGACTAGGCAGTCCTCCCGCTGAAACATGTCCTGTGCTCATTCTTCCCACTCTACTCCAGCCCAGAACACCAGCATCTTCCTCGCTGACTCTGCAGCAGCCTCAGGCCAGGTCTCCCTAACATCGACCTGCCTGCTTCCAGTCCATCCTGCTCCCAGCTGCCTGACTTAGCGTCCTTTCCCTTAATTTGTTAAAGTGGGTGGTAGTCCCACTTTAACACATTAAGTCCCCAAAATAACAGCCCCCAAAGATGTCCACGCTTTAAATCTCTGAAATCGATGAATATATTAAGTTACATGGCAAAAGGGACTTTGCAGATATGGTTAAGGATCTTGAGATGGAAGATTATCCACGTAGGCTCAGTATGATCACAAGGGCCCTTATAAGAAGGAGGCACGAAGTTCAAAGTGGGAGATGTGATGCTGAAAGCAAAAGTCAGAAATTTGAAGATACCATGCTGCTGGCTTTGAAGATACCACGTTGCTGGCTTTGAAGATACCACGCTGCTGGCTTTGAAGATACCACGCTGCTGGCTTTGAAGATACTATGCTGCTGGCTTTGAAGATAAAGGAAGACGCCATGAGCCAAGGAATGCAGGAGCCTCAGAAGCTGGGAAAGACAAGAAAACATATACACCCCTGGGGCCTCCAGGAGGTCCCAGTCAGCTGGCACCTTGACTTTAGCCCAGTGAGACCCATTTCAAACTTCTGCTGTCCAGAACTGTGAGATAATAAATTTGTGTTGTTTTAAACCAGTAAATTTGTGGCACTTGGTTATAGCAGCAACAAGAAACTAGTACAGTAGGTTTCAAATAGGGTTAAACACACATGCATATAACCGATTAAAGCTGTTTCATTTGAAACAAAAATCCAAATGACAACTCAGATTCCCTTTATACTTGTCTGAGGACCCCCTCAAGCCAAATTTGCTTTTTAAAGACATAGGCAGTTTGATCACATTCTTCTGAGTCTGTCATCATCCTGTGGTCTCCAGTCCAGAACCTGATACTGCCCGGGGCATCGCCTACCAAGGAAGCCCACACCGCACGTTGCCTGCTCCCAGGCAGGCAGATGGCAGAAATCTTTCCAACGTGAACACATCACCTAATCAGGCTTCTCTGTACCTTGGGCCGCTTGTGCAACTCCTGGAGCCTGCAGCCTTCATTCCCACCCCCAGGCCTTTTCCTGTAGGGTTCTCTTTAGTTGGAGTGTTATTGTTCCAACTCTTCCCACCCGCTCAGGCCAGCTTCTGTGAAAATGTGACACAGTTTTCTGAAACAGAAGTCAGCCCCTTGAGCAGGAAGCTGCTGCCCACGACCTATAAGGCAGGTCTTCCCTGGGTGGGGTAGCCCAGGCCACAGAGAGAAAAAGCCCAGCTGGGGGTGGGAAGGCTTTTGCAGACACGTGTGGGAGAAGATCCCAAGCTGGCTTACGTGGCTCCCAGCATTACCAGAGGCCACTCCTGGGCGGGTGGGCAAAGGGGCTCATCCTGCCCTGGGCCGGAACCAGCAGCCAGCCCTCAGGGCCGGTGTATGCCCAGGTTTCCTTGCCTTCCGCTCGTCGCAGGGCAGGCCGGGGGTTATCTGCTTCAGTCCCAGTCCCGCCCAGCTGGGCAGATTCCTTAACCTGCTAAAATCTCAGCTGTGACAATAGGTTGCTGCAGAGGACTGTCATGTGGCCCGAAAATGTGGTTAGGCCTTTAAACATACAGAATATTCAGTTGGTAGTAGACATTAATGCATGCAATCTGGACCTTATTTGTCTTTCCACCAGGAATGATGCTATCCATTTCATCAACTAATAGAATAAATTTTAGTGATCAAATTAGCCTGGGTGGGATGCGGTCAGTCCCAGTGCTTGCCCTCTGAGTTCACTTCATCTGGGTCACAGTACCCTTTCCAACGAGCCCTGGATGAGTCAGCCCATCCACTTGGCTCGTCCCCATGACCACCAGCAGCTCTTGCCCAGCAAGCACAGCGGCCTCCTGACTAGTCTTTCTGCTCCCATTGTGAGCTCCCCACACTGTCAGGCCATTCTCCTCACAGCTTGTGGCTGTCTTCTTCTTCTTCTTTTTTTTTTTTTTTTGTTAAGCCAAGCTGATTATTTTACTTCCTGCTTACAACCCTCAGTGACTCTCCCTGCTCCCCCAGGGAGCGGTATTTCTATATGCCATAAAATTAGAATCAAAACCTCCTCCTCCTCACCACAGCCTCCAAGACCTCCTTTGCCCCGTGGCTCCGGCTGACCTCTGCAGCCCTACAGCCTCCCTTTCCTCAAAGGACCAGGCTCCTTCGATGTAGGGCCTTTGCGTGTGATGCTCTCACTACCTGGGACCACTGCCTCCGGGAGAGCTTTCTCTGGCCCTCGGAATAGAAGGAGCTGCCACAGCACCCTGACACTGCTTTCTAGCTCCTTCTGTCAGGGACTCCTGGACTGTGTAGTGTTCGGCTTAGGGGCTTTCCCTCCAGCCAGCCAGAGAGGCTGCAAGGGGAGGAATGATGTTTTACTCGCTTGCCATGGCTTTCCCAACAGAGCCTGGAACACAGTACGTACTCAATAGACATTTGTTGAATAAAGGAAGGAGGGAAGGAAAAAAACAAAGGAAAGGATAGTGCTATTTA